AGAGAAGATGAACTGTTCTTTTTCCAGACTGTTTATGTTCAGGTTTGAACACTGCTGTAGCTCTGGAAGAGATGAACTAGAGCCTGCACTTTGCCTCTGATTTGGACCTGCACTACAGAGACGATGACACTAAGTTGGGAGGAGCTGATGACTCCTTTGGGGGCAGAGAGGCCCTACAGGGAGACCTCGACAAATAGAGAGATGAGCAATCACCAATCTTAAGAAGTTTAACAAGGGCACGTACGGGCTGGATTCTCCACATGGGACAGGGCAACCCTGGATGTGTGTATAGACTGGGGAATGAGAGGCTGGAGAGCAGTGCTGCAGAGAGGGACCTGGGGGTCCTGGTCAAAGGCAAGTTGAATATGAGTCACCAATGCTCGGCAGCCAGGAAGGCCAACCATGTCCTGGGGGGCATCAGGCAAAGCGTCGCCAGCTGGTCGAGGGAGGGGATTGTCCCACTCTGCTCTGCACTGGTGTGGCCTCAACTTGAATATTGTGTGCAGTTTGGGGCATCACAGTATAGGAAAGATATTAAGCTATTAGCATCCAAAGGAGGGCAACAAAGTTGGTGAAGGGCCTTGAGGGGAAGCCATATGAGGAGTGGCTGAGGTCACTTGGTCTGTTCAGCCTGGAGGAGACAGAGGGGAGACCTCATTGCAGTTACAACTTCCTCATGAGGGGAAGAGGAGGGGCAGGCACTGATCTCTTCTCTGTGGTGACCTGTGACAGGACCCAAGGGAATGGCCTGAAGTTGTGTCAGGGGAGGTTTAGGTTGGATATTAGGAAAAGGTTCTTCACCCAGAAGGTGGTTGGGCACTGGAACAGGCTCCCTAGGGCAGTGGTCACAGCCTGACAGAGTTCAAGAACCATTTGGATGATACTTTCAGGCACATGGTGTGATTCTTGGAGTGTACTGCACAGGGCCAGGAGTTGGACTTTGATGATTCCTATGGGTCCCTTCCAACTCAGGATATTCTATGATTCTTACCAGGAGAACTTTCTTACCAGAGCAGGTGGTTCCAGTTCACATGCCAGGCACCAGCAAAGCAAAGCCCTACCATCCATGCCCCAGCTGAGCATCTTCATAATCACTACAGATGGAGCTCTTAGTTGATGTTGTCTTCTGCACAATACCTTTATTTGGTGAAGCTTCTACCAAAAAAATTTTTGCTATGGTGCTTACATGGGATGCTGAGGACCAGGACTTCAGTAGGATTTACTGCTCTATGTGTAATTTTACAAGGGTTAATATCAAGTAAATTCTTCATCTGTCGCAGGAAATTTGGTGATAGAATGGTTCAGGACTGTTCTTTGCATGCAAACATGTTCTCATAAAGTAACTGGGCATTTTTTCGTGATAAATCTGTTTCAAAGTCCCTGGTAGTTTGGTTAAGAGTAGATTAGAAGAACAAACTGATCAGTCTGTTGATTTAGGAAGGGACACCACAGTGCAGCATATCAGTGTCTAGGGGCACTGCTCAACCCACTAGCAGAAATTTATATGCACTATGTTAAATTACAGCCTATTTATGGATTTGAGGGTGTCCGTGTGATTAAATAGAAACTCCAACACAGTGAACTTTGAGATCTGATCCCTACAGTGAGGAAAAAACAACACACAGTTCCCACATTGGTTTGGCCAATTCCAACGAACTCTGCTTTGAACAATCCTTAGCCTAGCATTGTCTCAGCAGACTGCTGTGTCTGAGAAAAAAAAACCAAAACACTTCCCTAGCACAAGGCAGTTAGTGTACAATTTAGTGCATAGCTATTCTGAATGGAATGTGCTTGTGAATGCTATAATTGGCTCTCAGGTTGTAAAGCCAGACAAGAATGTAAGCCCATGATACAGGCTAAGGACCTTCTGCCAGTGCCCTCTACCTTCTCCTAGCTGTTGAGTCACTGGGAGACCCAGGAGCAGAAAGCAGCAGGACTGAATGGAGTTCAGTGCATACCTGAGCTGGCTGTGTAATCCAAGCTTTGATGACTGGCATGATACACCACAGCTGTAAAGTCACCTGAGGCTCACCTCATTAGGCAGTCTTTGTTGATGGCTTCCATCTCATTCTCACTGCTGGTGTTAGTCTAGCTTTGAATTATTAATTGCTGGTGGGCTTGATTCTAGGCACTGTTGTACCACCGTTAAATCAGGAATTATAAGCCATTCCAGTACAATAAAACCAGAACAGTGAGACTGGGGGGGGGTAGGGAACTTTCTGTAGCATCTCTGATCACAGCAGAGATTTATTAGCCTTTTGACTGGGTAAGCTAAAGTCATTGTTTAAGTCTACCCATTGGAAAAGCAAGAAAGCTGTGCCTGTGCTCATTCATTTTTGTGTTCATTTGGCATTTGCGTTTTGCTGCTGCAGTTTGCATTCCTCTCTGCGTGGCTCAGAGTACGCACCATCTGACACACTCCCATTCTTACACTCCTAAATTTCCCATAGATAAGGGAGTAAGACATGGAAGAAAATGCATTAAATACCCAACTTTCATGTGAGGCCCTTTTAAATGATTCTGTTCAGTTACTGTCATTTCAGGCCTCTCAGAGTAAGTTTTGGGGAGTGAATTGGACAGCAATGCTCTGGCAGCTCTTTTGCCACTGACTATTTCAAAATTACATCTTGATGAAACATGTTGGCAATTGCGTGCACATGACCCCGTTTTTTCTTCAGCAAAAGCTGGTGGCAGCCTGAACCATTGTTCTTTGTATTTAAAACAAGTCTTTCAACTGGGAGCCAAAAAAATGCTTTTCAGTAAAGCTTTGAAAAATCATCAAAGTCCAGCAGCTTACAAAAATTTTCCACTGCCTGGCTATTCACAAAGTAGAATAGAAATTGTCTGTATGTTTTGGGCAATCCATAGCTCCTGAACATTGTGCCTTGTCCTGTCAAATGAACTTAATGATTAATAATTCTTTTTTTTTTTCATTTTTATTGGTGCTTTCAGGCATTTATAGCCTTGGACCCTTCTGATTATTCCTTTTTATGACAATATACATATATGCCCAACCCCTGTTTATAAGGTGTATAATTTCTCAGTCTTTATTATTTTTGCTGTCCATCATTCTTTAAAAAGTTTTTTTGCCATGATAATATCAGGAACATATCTCTTCTTTCAGAAACCTCTCATCAGCTCAGTCAAGCTTCTACCTTTTAATACAACTAAGGTATTCAAACCAGTGGTGTGGCTCCAACCATACTGTGGCAGCAAAGGGCTCATTTAAATTGGGGATTGTCAGATGAGGAACTTATGCTGTTTGGCTGGGGAAGAGAAGGGTGACCTTTCTGGTAGGTAGGTGTTAAAAAAATGGCACTTTGATCCATACTTAGCACATTTGTGGCATAATATACTCTGAGCAGGCAATAACAATAACAAGTAGGCTGTTAAGCTACAAGTACTTTGCAGTTTTCAGTGCTTTTTACAGGGACTTTATTATATGGCGTTGCACAAAAACCAGGCTGAAATTAACTCTATTATTTCATTAGCCAAAATTAGTAGCTTGGTCAGATCTTAAAAAGCTTTAGAAAAAAAAAATCTTATTCATTTTTTGATAATTTCATTTCACTCACTCTGTATCATCACACAGACCTTGAGAGGTCTGTGAGATACCTTGAGAGGTATCCTCATGCCTGGACTGGACTCAGACACATACAGTTCTTCGAAGACATGGAGCATACTGTTATCTTGTGTGTTTAAATGGCTAACTGGTTAATTTATTTCTCTTGCACTTCTGAAAGACAATATTTTACTGTCTTTTCGCTTCTACAGATCTTGCCTGGCTTAAAATTTAGCTTCGTTTTCAGAGGTTCCTGAATTTCTTCACTAGTTCTTTTACAACTCCCAGATGCATCTCCCTTTAAGTTGAGGATGCATACATATTTAGTTTGTTCAGATGTCCTTCCGTCATCTTTTTATTCAGTCCTTGTTCCTCCAGCTGAGTCTAGTAATTTTCCTGAATTTTCCTGTAAAAGGTTCTTTGATGTCCTCATCTTCATTACTCATTTTACTGCAAGCAGATCCAAACTGGTATTTAAAATCTTGGTATTTTGTGTAAGTGTGATGTAGTGTATTTTGTCTTAATGGAAATATCGCATCGAAAAAGAATTTACATTTTAGCCATGGTCTTGAATATTAACGAGGCTTCTTTTACTCACAAACTGGAGCAGTTTGACAGCCTGGTATTATTTTTATCCAGATTTTCCCAGGAAGTTGGCAACAGTATATGCTAGAAAGCAGTTCTTCAGTATCTCATTCACTAAAATTGGTGGTTCATCAACAGTGTCTGTAATTTCTGTTTCGCTTGCACAGCAATAGAATTCAGTATGAATTGCAAATAAAAGGAATCTCAACATTTTGCATTTTTTCAGCACATGGAGTTGAATTAGCTCTGCTCAGTTATATAACTCTTCCTATGTTGTAGAAAAATGTAAAGAATTTAAGCCCTTACCTAAGACAGATCACAAGTTGTCTGAAGTTAAAGTTTTTTTGTCCCGTTCCAATGTAGTTAAACAAGGAGCCAAAACATCAATACCCAAAGAGATGCTTTTGAATAGAGGATTTAAAAATTATAAAATGTTAATGTAAAGATCTGGCTCTGCCCCAGGTGAAGCCTATAGGTCTGGTAAAAGGGGCAGTAGGGGTGTCTTTAAAATATATACTTTGTCTATTTATGTTCCCCTCATGGACTGACATGGCTTAGAGTGTAAGAAAGAAAGAGGTCGAACTTCTCATTTCCAGAGTCCCAAGGGCTACTTCCACAGCCAAGAATAACCAGAGCATAGATAAGCTCTTTATGCCAGGAGCTGTAACATGGCTAAAGGCCCTTATTAGTCTTCTCTACAATCTAGAGAATTTCTCTTGGCTGATTCCAATTTCAAGGGAATAATTCCACTTATTAGCCCTCTGTACACTACAGAATTTTAATATCTTACTTATTTTACAGAGCTGCAACAGGGTCTCTGCTGCACACAATTTGACTGCGCAAAACCAGCCTGTATATTTTAGAATATGTTTAGAGTTTATTTTCTAATATAGTCAAGTTACAACGTACTTAAATCCATAGGATAATGATGATCTTATTGAAAACATGGTACTAAAAATAAATGCTATTGGCAATGTGCCTAAATGCATTAAGCAACTAGTTGCAGATTTTAGTTTTAAGAAACTCATGGGTCATTACTTGGTTTTCTTTTCTTAATTGTGTGACTGGCTTAAGTATGTCTGCTTTGCTGTATCCTGGCATGTTTTTTTAGAATATTTTCAGAATATCTTTGCAGCTCTTCAAGGTGCAAATTTAAACGTTCTTCAAACTCTCTTGCATGTTTATCTTCCTCTTGAAGGAACTTTTCTGTTGTTGCAAGGAAGGACATCTCATGGGGAGACTGAACAAGGAATAGAAAATCATGGTTAGTAAAAGCCAGCAAGTGCTACAACATGTTTTCATTATCAAATTCTAGATGTGAAAAACATCTTGACCTATAGCAGCTAGTAACGCTATAACGCTTTACACCTCAGCAAGAAAACATGAAATCGGGCATAAATTTTTAAAGGCATCCATGTGCCTAAATGACATCAAGTGAACATGATGTTTGATTATCTCTGATATTCACAGCATTAGAATGTAGATTTAGGATTAAAAATTTAAATATTCCATTAGACAGAATTGTGCTGCTGCAGAACCTCTAAATTCTTTGGATCAGCTACAGGTTATGTTAGTTATTTGTATAATGTAGACCAATGCAGAGGACAATAACCTTTTTTGGAATTACAAAATATAATTAGTGTTGGATACTGCTGATTGCCTCCTGGAATTTTAGCTCTGCTTCTGTGATGTGATGCTTTCTGAGGAAAGGAAGAAAACCTATGCTCATTTCAGTACTATTAACTCCAAGCTCTGACATTCTGGAGAATGTACTAAATTTTATTCGCTGTAAGTAATTCAGCTGAAAAATCTTCTTTCCATTTAATGAGCATTTAGTAGCCTTAGACATAAACCATACCAAAAATCAGCCTTAAAATGGTTGTCATGGGATGCGGAGTTGTATGAAGCAAAGGACATTGAGTGAGTCTTTGCTGGAACAAGTTCTAAATTTTTAAGCAGCAATTTTTGTTAATTCTTTTGCTGATACTTAAGATGCATTCATTGGAATGTCTTTATCAAAAGAAATATGAAATAGTTTTTCTTTGCCTAAAGATACTATGCTTGTTTAAATTCATTCAATGCTTATTTGTATAGATAAATACAGTTTTATGACATGAATTTTTAATATTTGACTAAGAAGAAAACTTAGTATAGTAGCTGTAATATTAAAAGAAAGATTATTTTCTATCTTTATATGGTCATATATTGAGAAAAATAATTGGCATTTTTAATTTTAATTAAACCATATCTTAATAGTTTTAGTTACTGGTTGAGTTATTAGTCAACCAGTATTTTGGAATTTTGGGTTTTGCTTTTTCTAGAATTTAGAAAGGAGAGTTAATATCTCAGCACATCAAATAAGAATTCAACTATTCAAATGTTCTGTGCTAAAGGCCAATTTTATTACACCTGTAAGCTTTTACTCTAGGCTCCATTGTATCAAAGTGGGATATTCTGTATTTCCACAGCAACTAGAGACAGATTTGGGTTTTGTTTTCAATTTCGTTGAAAACTACCCTTTAGCAGCTTGTAAGTCCAAAAGATGCTAGGTAGAGAAATGCTTTAAAGCACCATTCTATTCAAACTCTTTGCAGGAGACTTTGAGATGAAATTTAGAGATTTCCTATAGGAAACCCCTTTTCTTTTTGAAGTACAGCAAGTAAGCGATAGCTGGAAATGAATTCTGAATTTAATACCATCCTTCTAGAATGAGACAGGCTTCCTGATGTATAGGGCTCCTAAAATGAAATTCACAGATAAAGCAGAATCTTCCTTTTCTCAGTCCCTCCAAATTAGTGTTTTACAAGGATGGGGGAGAAAAATTTGCCATGTACGAGTAAGAAACTCAAAGGTATTGGATCACTGTGTGCCACAACAGCCCTCTATCAATCTGTGCACTAGCAGGAATAAGAAAGAATGTCAGACTTCTAAAGTTTAAGAAACTGGAGGGACATCACCTGTCTTCTGGTTTTCTTTATAAACCCATGCATAATTTCCCACCATAAATTATCAGTGTTTTCACATGAAGAGTTTTTTCTGAGATTCTGAATGCCATGGCCATAGGCACATGTATTCCTTCACGAGGATCACAAATACATCTCTTTTTGATGTTAGGACTCACTGATAGGGTTGACAGTACTATTTTAAATTATTTGAAGAAGGCTTTTGTATTATGAAGAAGACATTAGATTTGGAGGCTTTACTTAAAGAATCACCATGTGTTTTGCTTACTGAATATCAGCTCTGAAATCACTGATTCAATACTGAGCAAATACTTGCAGTGAGAAGCATGAGAAACTGGGAAAATCTCAATTTGAAATATGAATTTAATAGGTGTCATCACCTAGAGAAAAAAAGTCATGTCAGACTTTTCCATATAGACAGCAGATTTACACAGGTGCTAATCTTTGGAAACACTGCATCAAGTTACAAGAGATCCTTAGAGATTCATTATAACAATGCTACAGTTACTGACTTGTCATTGGAAAGACTGGCCTCATGATCAAGCTACCTTCCTAAACTGCTTCCTTTGCTTCAACTGGTATTTACTTTGATGTGTTTCTTCTTGAAATACACTGTAAACTCCAAATGAGACATTTCTGAATTCCCTCACAGTTGAGAAAAGAATGTTTATCACTTAGAATAAGCAGGTCATGGCTCCCCACTGAGGGTCAGACATCACAGACTATGATTTTAGATGGGTCCCTAATGCACTGTTTTTCATGCACTTTGAGAGAAGGTTTTATCTAAACAGGTCTAAAAGGCAACATTCCTTGTTAGCAACTACGCTTTGCTTTCCAAGCCTCTGGTCTGTTCTTTCATTACGTTCTTTATTGTCTTTACTTTTGGCATCTGAGGAAGAAAAACCATAAAGAAGCTGCTTTAATCCATGTCTCAGATGAGATTCATGGTCCCTAGTTTTGAATTTCTTTTCCTCAGATATCGTTTCTTTTATGTTTTTTGGTTTCCTAACAGGATCTGGATAGAAATGGGTTCATTGTTAAGCTTTCCATCTAAAAACATCCTTGTTTGGGTAATTAGGCAACAAGGACTCTACTTTTTCATTTCCACGCTGCAGCTGATCTCATATTTCTTTGGTGTATACCAGTAATGAGAACCACCTTTTTGCCTTATTATTTTCTGGAAATGAAGAAGTGCACCTGATAGAGATGCATATTTTTACATATGAAATATGTCTTCTCCTTAAATAAGAACTATCCAAAGTGGTTATGCATTAACTCTGAATTGCTAGGGAGAAGCCCTTCAGGAAGGGACATTCTCTCTCAAAGACTGCCTAATTAATTTGCCTAGAGTTAATCTCTCATTTGCCCCATGAGTTGTCCCAGCATTCTTGGATGCGCCTTCAGCAGGGCAGCAAGAAAGTTTTAACACTTGGGATATTTTAGCATTTAGTGTTCAAATCATGAATGGTCAAACCCCAGTGTTATAGTCTTCTTATGCTTCGATGCTCCTACTTTCCAGGAAAGATTTTGTAATACTGGAAGTAGAAATTGGTCTGGCTAATTTTAGTCTCAGTGTGACTAAATGTTGGGGCTTTTGGGAGTAATTTCCTCTAACCCTACACTGCAATACATCTTAAGCAGCAGGTACAGATGTCTGTCTTAAACATGATTCTGCTCATATATGAAAATCAAATTTGAGATGGTTAGGAAATTGCTGAAGACTTTTAGAGGGCCTAAGTACCTAATCAGCTAGGTAAAAATAATACCTAAGAGTGAGAGGCATGGACTACAGCATGCCTCACAGTAGGATCACAACTGTCAAAATAATTCCTAATAATGTCCAGTGGTAGAATTTCCACAACTTTCCATTGCAATCTATTTATTAAGCAAGTTCCCATAATAATGCTAGAAAGTTTCCTAATGCCTAATTTAAATTTTCATTGCTCCAGCTCACGTCTTTCTTTTATTTCCAAGCCTTGAAAGCAAGAAAAAACATCTATCCAGCATCTGAAAAGAAACATGAGAAGGTATTTGTGACTAAAAGATGAGGCAATCATTTTCTGAAATTGATCATTTCAGAAAGAGAGCGCAGCCCAAAGTGCTGTTCAGAGAAAAAGTATTTCCCTAGATTTGGAAAGCGCTGAAACAAGAATTTTTGGGGTTATTGGGAAGCTCAGTGACTCCCAGCTGAGCTTCCTAGTTTATTCTAAGGCAAGAATTACTCTACACATGTAACCTCTAAGTAAGTATGTCAAAGGGCAGAGGTTCCAGTGGAACATTTACTAATCTTTGTCTGAAGGCTCTCTACCAGGAGGAGAGATGTAAGTCTTTGTCTAAAGCCCAAGGGACTGGTTTTTTTCTTCCCTCAATACCGCAAGAGTAATCTTGGTATGTATCAGGACGTCACCTGGAAATCTGGTGTTTTCAATTTGTCCTACAAATATTCTTCAGAAAAATAGTGCCTTATAACATTTTCAGAAGTTTTGAATATACTGGAGATTTCACTTGGGTTCTGTCCTTGTGTCCTTTTCCCCACAAGTCTGGAAAACTCTGTCAAAGAACTCTGGTTTGCAACGTACTGTATCTTTTTTTCCCTCTTTCTCCTTGATGCATCGGCTTTCCATTTGAACACAGAACTCTAGAGTAACATACTGTTGAATGATTTCAGCACTAAAGCTGTGGTATCCAGTGTCAGCCTGAATGATGATTTTATTTCAGTGGTCTGAACCTGTACTTGCTTCAGTGCCACTGATTTGGACTTGGTCTCTGTACGGGAAATATCCCTTGCTTAACAGTTGACACCAACTGGAAAGTATTTTCCCTATAATCTAGTCAATTGTCTTAGCATTGACCCTGTCCTGAGTGCCAGCTGCAAAAGTGTCTCAGAATGGACATTTTTCCCAGGCTGGCTGAAAACAGAAGCTTAGGGGTCTCATGTCTCTGAAACTTCTGACAGAAAAGAACTGGTGTTTAGCAGACTCTTCTGAAAAAGTCCAAACAAGTCTTTTCATGATTAGCACTTTAAAGAGGAAAACTCTCAAGCCATGAGAAACCAAAAGCCATTTACTTAAAATTCCTGTGAAAAATAAGAATATAAAACTGGAAGTGCGGTCAAACACCCAGGACTACGTGGTTTTCACTGTTCTCAGGCTAGTGGGACACAGATGATGGGACCACAGTCAGTGAAGGGCTGCACTGCAATCCCTGCTTCCTAGGCAGGCCATTAGTATGATGCTTCCTATCAACAGTGAGATTCCAGAATGTGGAAATAGTCTTCCAGCAGCCATGTCTCTGATAGGAAAGGATGTGTGTTTGCTTCCAAAGTGGACAGCAGAACTGGGATACAACAACAGCAGACTGCTTGAAGATGACTCTTGGTGTCATGATGCCTCTTCGCTCCTACTTTCAGGTGACAAGTGGCAAGAAAATTGCCTGTAAGTTCCCCCTAGTAAATGCTGAAATCTTCCCTGTTCTACAAGTTCAGCCACAGCCCTGCAGCTGAGGATCTCCTGGTTACAAAGATCCATGTATCACAGCTGGGCAGAAGGATGTTGACAGTTCATTCCTTACCTTGTTAGTTCCAATACTTAATGATGGTAGAGTTCCGTGGTTTGAGGTCAGGAAAATAAGTGCTAAGTTTTCAAGTGCAAAAAAAATAGTGGCCTGTAGTGGAGGCCTAAGGAAGAATAGCAGATACTAAAGAAGAGGATAAAACTCAAAGAGAGATCTAAAGCCAAAGAATTACAGAAAGTTTTTTTTAAGTTGTCCTAGGCAAAGTGTAATTTGTACCACTTGTCATAGAGATTGACCATTTCCAGCCTATGAAGACTAAAAGAATGAATGCTGTGCTATTTCTCTTTCATTTTAAGGAAAATAAGGATTACAGCAGTTATAATTTCTGTTCCTTTTCAGATAAAATAGCTAACATATAGAAAATAGTTGCTGTAATTCCTCTGATTTCATCCATCAATCAGATGCTGTAGAAACTTGACTTGTCTAACAGCACTTAAAAGCAGTAACTTTGCAGGTATTATGGAAATACACTTAGAGCAGAGTGCTCTTACACAGGCAATATGATGCAAAGTGCCCCAATATAGAAGCCAATAAGCTAAAATTTAGAAATCTTTCTCACAGTCACATAATGGCAGGTAGTTATCACCATCCTTATTAGAACAGAGGTATGGCTCAGTAGGGGATGTTTAATCTCCAGAAAAACTACATTTCTGTTAGGGTAAGATATTTCCATTTTTGCTGGGCACTGTATAAATAATAACAAGAGTGATCTAATTTTTGGCTCCTCCAAGGCTGCACTTGGTCCACAGATGGATTTTTGAGAATGTATGTGTTAAATAGTTACTTACTGATAATTTGATTTCTTCTGATAATTTCATTTCTTCTCCACTGTAAGCAGGGCTCAGTAAACTGCCTGTTCTGCCCATTTTAGGATATGGCCCACCAAAGCCCAAAGGATACCCCACTAGTGGTGATGGAGATTTATAAACTATTTTCTTTTCATGACCTCTGTGAAGTGGATGAGAAGATACAATGCTATCACTTTTTGACCCAGTGATATTGCCTTGGCCATATAAAGCAGGACTGCGGTTTCTGTGGTATCCACTGGCAGTAAGCATATCAGTCTGTTGACATTCCATTTCCCCTGCATCTTTATTTTGGAATGATCTAAAAGAAAAAAAAATCAAAGCATGAAAACCAGTTAAAACTATTAAGCTATCACAGCAAAGCCAAAGGTTTTTGTTTTCTTTGTTTACACAGTTTTGGTTATTTAGCTGTTCAAACTGCTTCATGCATGAAGTTGTGGGCATTACCAAGTTGCAGGAATTTAGCAACTTTCAACCTAAGTTACCATAAATGCCAGGGTGTGCATTCTCTCTCTGCTTCAGCTGTGACTTAAATCACCCTAATTTAAACCCTTTCAATGGAGCATAAATTGAGGAACCTTGCCTTGGCTGATATAACTGTGTCAGGACAAGAGCTAAAATACAAACTCACTTCAGGTATTAAGAATGCCAGTACTTCTTAAGTGTTTGTTACCCATCCTTTGCTAAAGGTTATAATTTCTTTAGCTTTTCAGTAGAACAAACTATGGAAGCACTCCTCAGCCATGTCCTAGCTTATAGTATGATAGGAACTACAGTGAATTTAGGCAAACAAATAGAGGAAATGAAATATGAAAGTGTGAGATTAGAGATAAAAACTGTTATCAGTGGTGGGATAATTAGTAAATTTTGATCTAATGTCACCTTCAACAACTATGTTCACATAGCTAGAATTTAGAATAAATAAATAAAAAAATATTACAGGAATATTTGATCCTGCATTTTTACTGCAATGCTAATTTTGCCACTAATTTAATGACAACACTTTGGAGATTAATATAAAAAAATTAAATAGATTTTTTTAAAATAAACTTTCTAAAAAATTGTACAAGAACATGCTTTTGTAGCCATAAGTGAAATCTTCAAGCTTAAGAAAGAGTTTTTAAGTATTTTATGATGTTCTGTAACTCTTATATCCTACTTAGAATGATCAGAATGATCAGAATTGATGTATTATATGAGGTATATATATGTATTCATATGTATATATATGATGTATACGTTTGTATTCATTTGCAGTTCTGTAAAGCAAAAATTATTACAGATAACAGCAACTTAGAAAAAAAAGACAGCTATTTTCTTCCCATTCAAAATATTTTCTTTCCTGATAGTTAACTAAACAATTCTGATACAGTATTGATCAAAGAAGAATTTTGAGTCTAGCTTGGTCAAATGTCTGCTGAATTGCACTAATTATCAATGGCATAATTACTTCTATTATATATCAAAACATGCAAAAAATTTATTTCATATATTATAAATTTCTGTTAGAATATTTCTGACTGAGGTAAAAATTTCTATTGTACTGAGGCCTGTGCTTATGATGAAATTTTAATCTTGGGAGGTAACCACTAAAAGATGATAGCTGTTTGAGCACATTCTATCATTGCAAATATCCTAAAACACTTCAGTAATTTGAAATGCAGCTATAAAAACTTTTAAAGAGCACATTCTCTGCCACTAAAATATAATTATTATAAATATTCAAAAGTATGCAGTGCTGCATACTTTTTTTTCTTTTTAAATAAAAACAAGAACTTGCCAAGTGCAGGGAAAAGACTGTTTTCTGCAGAAAGATCACAACATCATTTTCTAATCTTAATTTAAATTATTTGGTGTTGGGAGAGGGTGGCTGTGCAGCCTTAATGCACCTGCTCATATATAAGCCCTTTGCTGGTTTTGCCTGGGGTAGAGTTAATTTTCTTCACAGTAGCTGGTATGGGGCTGTGTTTTGGATTTGTGCTGAAAACAGTGTTTTCATTACTGCTGAGCAGTGCTCACACAGAGTCAAGGCCTTTTCTGCTCCTTGCTCCACTCCACCAGCAGGGAGTCTGGGGGTGCACAAGGAGTTGGGAAGGGACTCAGCCGGGACAGCTGATCCCAGCTGACTACAGAGATATTCCAGACCATATGATGTCATGATCAGCAATAAAAAGCTGGGAGAAGGTTGGCTAGGCATCAGTTGGTGGGTGGTGAGCAGTGGCACCATGCAGCACTTGTTTTGTATGTTCTGATTCTTATATCATTAGATTCTTATATCATTATTATTATTATTGTTATTTTCTCCTCCTTTTCTGTCCTATTAAACTGTATTTCAACACACAAATTTTACTTTATTTTATCCCAGTTCTTTCCCTGGCGGTGGGGGAGTGAATGAGCGACTGTGAGGTGTTTACCTGCCCACCAGGTTAAACCTGGACAGCCCTGAAGCATGAAACTGAGTATTCAATAAATGGACTGTGTAGAACAACTCAGAGAACTAATGAAGAACATATTTTTTCTCTGATTATAAAAGAAGCAATGATTAAGATACTCTGAATGCTATGAGAAACCAAAATTATAAGCACAAAGCTATATTAATTATATTACTATAATTTTGTTATTACTATAATAATAATAATAATATTAAACATTCTAACATAAAAGTCTCTGAGACTATTCACCACATCTTCCAGTTTTCTAAATCACCTAAAATGTTTACCTTTATGGAGGCAGAGTTTTCTCCTTTCCTTCACGTTCTCTTTACATAAACACACTCTACTCTTTGGGCACAGGAAAATACCTTTCTGCTTTTTTTTCCCCTCCCTATTTTAAAGTACATTCCAGATATTGTTTGGATGAAGGGCACAGTGAAAACCTGTCACAACTGAAGATAAATGGCATGAATAATAAAATCACAGATTTCATTTTTTTCATCTTGTGTTCTGACCTTTTTGGAGGTAGTTTTCTCTCTAAACTTATATACATATGAAATCTGTATGATCCATGTTCCTTTTTTCTCTTCAGAACTGCTTCTCTATGTGTTTAATAACAATTATTACTGCTGTCTTATAGCTTACTTCATTAAGACCAGAATTTTCAGACTTGAGTGCCTCCAGTTATGGTAGCTCGTAGAACAGATACTGCTCCCTTGCGCCCCCCCCTCCCCTGTCCCCAAAATAAAGGACTGATTTTTTAAATGAACTCCACTTCCTCCTGTAATCCACGCTGGGGCTGCTTGGTATTTTTGAAAATCATGACACTTACCCTGAGGTACTTTGATATGGATACTATGCCTTTACTTTGGACAGTGTTTACAGCTGGGGTTTAAATTTCTATCAGTTCAGTGCAAAATAATATCTAAGACCAGAGATCTACTACACAAATGTACAAGTAGGCAAATATCTGCAAATTTTTAAAAAACTGTCCACTTGTTAAGACTAGCAATGCAAATACACTATAACTGCAGTTGAGTAATTCATGTTTTCAGTGGGATTACTTCATAGGGTATTTAACATGTACACATACTGCACAAAAATAATATCACTGTCGACGTGGTGACATATGGGACAAGAAGCAAAAGAATTATGTCCTGACAAAGGGAATTTATATAAACAGGCATCATCTTTCCAGTCTCGTATATAAAATCAGCCTAGTCCCTATGCAGTCAATGACTTCAAAACAAATTCCTTGCACAACCTGTGCTGGTTGACATAACTAGTCTTGAGAAAGAAAACAACAGATCTTTAATGACCAGAATGTCTTCAAGAAATTGTGTTGATGCTTCTACCTTGCAAGTCTAACTGCTAGCTACATTTTAAAAATGGATAAAAAGTATTTTCATGAAGAGATTGTTTTCACTGCTTCCACTTTATCTATTGCAATAACTGATACAGTGGTGAGTGTGACTAAGAGTGTGTGACCTCCAAAGGGTGGTGAAAACCTCCTTATCACAGATACTCCACTGTCAACACACATCATTTAAGCAATCCCCAGCTACCTTAGCTGAACCATTCAGTTCTTGCCTTTACCCTTCACTTCTGCCATATGATGAAAGTGCACTCTGGCTTGACCCATTATGTATTTTGTGCATATTTTTATGGTAAATAGGTAGCTTTTCATTTGGGAACTCACATGCATGTTTTAATTTTGGAAGAAACAAACTAAACACATCAGCTTCATCAGAGAAAGTCCTCTTCAACCATGCCAAAATATAAATCAACTGTATGTGGTCAAGGTCTAAATAAAGGATTGAAATCTTGAGGTTGGGGAAAGCTTATGTAAATGGCAATTAGAAGTAATGCAATTATCATATAAGAGAACAGTATTTAATTGAGGTGGTTACAGGTAGAATGTGGGCACAGTCCTTTTTTAGCAAAAAGATGCTATTCCTGCATATCTTACTTTGTAATGTTTAGAAATTCACTGTACACTGAAAGAAAGAAGAAATCGTATTGCTTTTTAAATTGCCAACATAACTTCCTGGAATTTCCTATGTTTTCTTTAGAGGTCTCGTTTCTAAGTCATCATGGTGCCCATACCCAGGATTCCAGTACTGATTGAGAGATATGACTGAAAAATACCGTAGAGAATATATATATATATCCCTCCCTTGCACAAACACCATGTTTTCTATTTTTTTACTATGTAAAAAAAGTTTTTGTGCCCTTTCTCCAGTGCCATAATTACCATGGAAACAGAACTGCAAATTAAACCAGAAATAACAGGGTTTATGCTCACAATAAAATAAACATACCCCAGATTTTAACTCAACCAACATCAATTCTCTGGTTTATCTGCATATATTTGATGATTGAAAATTTAATTTTAGTTTTCTGGGAAAATCTTGAGGTAGTCCCCTGTCTGGGAACTGAGAACTGACAGTATAGAGAGGGCCCAATCTTAAATAGACTGGCTGGCTGATGTGCATATACAGTACATATGAAATTTGCAGATTTTTGGAAATCTGTGTATGTATTTATTTAGCTAGATAGCTTTTAATTTAGGAATTCAAATGTGTGGTTTAGATCCTGAAAACTAGGCTCAGTATATCTGTTTGATCGTATCAATTATAATTTATATCGTGTTCTGTAGTGTGGCTAAGATTTCTGCTATGGGAAAGGTTAACTCTCCCAGTTTTGGTTCAACATTGGTCTTCAATGGCTATGAAATCAAAATCTTGCAAATTACGTGCATAGTTCTATTGTCTCATACATGTACATTCTCATAAATGAAATTTCACAGTCCCTTATGTACAATTGTAAATTCTGAGGAAATGGGAAAAATTCTATTTTTTTCTCACTTGAGAAGAGTGGAAGCATGAGCAAAAATTGCACTGACCAATTTTGGTGAAGTTATGAGACTTACAGATGCAGAATAATCTGTATCTTGGTTTGTAAATATTTGTTTCTGCAAAACCTTCAACATCATTTGAAACTTCATAGGAAAACAGCCATAACTGCCACTTCTGTTTATGTATATATATATGCACATTATGTATATGCATATATACACATACATATAATATATCTATTTATTTATATAAACATGAATACTATGTCCAACACTAAACAACCTTCTTGAAAAGGAACTTCTAGGCAAAAATATATTGTGATGGCACTCTATTTTGCAGAAAGAAAATAATTTTATATTTTGCCAAAAAAACTATATGTAGGAGTTTGAAATCTTAAAATGTACCATTTTGGCTCCAACTATTTCAACTTTGCTTCACAGAACTATTTTATATTAGTGCTATCATGTAAGTTCTTTATTACAAGCGATCAAAACATTTAGCTTCCTATTAATTTTTACTTTCCTGTACTGTGAAATATTGCTTAGCAGGGACTTTGTTTTCTTTTTTTTTTCCTGCAATGCCATGAAGGTAATTCAGTGCCTCACTGAATACAGGGAAATAAGAAGAAAGTCATCACTACAATGTTTTCTATGAGTCTGAGTATTCTTACGTCTCATTATTTTTCCCTAACAAGGAGTTTATTGTAGTAATGACTTACTCAGGCCATCTGAAATTATGTTTCTTTTAAAAATCAGGTCACCCCAGAACACCAAAACCAGACAAGGCATTAAAATACATTTAATGAAACTTCCAACAAATTAAACTGGAGGGACACAAACCTTTTCAGCAGGGGTTGTAGTTCAAACTGCTTATTAAGATAACCTCCCATGGAGCAGTTACCTCTCATGTTGGTTTTTATATCCTTTCCTTGTCTTGTTTTTTTTTGGCAGTAAAAATACAGTCTGTCCTGTTTTGCAAAACCTGGAACTTGGGATAACTTGAGCAGCACATGAAAAGTTTTTAAAGTTGTTTCATGTGCTAAATACTAAAATAGGGATAAAACATTTCTGAACTTCATTTATTGCCAAATTCCATCAGCCACCCAGAAAAAATGTAGGAACTGCTTACAAATACACTAACTAGGTCTGATATTTATGTTGGTGGGAGTTCTGAATGAACAGAAACAGAAAAAACTTAACAATTTTACCCAGATAGATGCTTCCAAAACACTTACGGGAAGTTTGATATATGTGTACAATCTAATTATTACCTCTCTTCCTTTTCTTGCATCTTTGAATGGATTTGGTAGCTGTGCTCTGTTTCTCCATACGTATCTGTGCAACCCAGTATTGATATTCCTCTGTCATTTTGTAGTTTAGCAACACTATTTTCTAGTCTTAAATTCTCATGTTTCATTTTGTGAACAGAAGCTGTGAAATTTCCATGTTCTTTGTTACATAAATCTATATTCTGTGAAAAGAGATAAAACCATCATTACGTGGTTATTTTTTCCACAATAAATGGGTGTATTTTTAACAAGCAAACACAAAACAATGTTCCATGCTAAAGAAAGACCTAGATACCATATATAATCATCCAACATCTAGAGCAAACCAAGATAATTGCCTCCAGAAAAAAAAAATCACTGTAGATAAATGAAAATGAAAGAAAAACAGCCTCTATAACACAATAAAACAAATTAAAATTTCTCAATAAACATACATTCAGAATATTATTGTTGTAAATTCATCGCTTGCTTTGCAAAACTGATGACATAAAAGCAACCATAACAGCTATAGCTGCAGACTGTATTGCTCCCTCCAGTAACAATTCCTCCAAAAATAACAAGAAAAATTATAGAAGTTCATTACTATCCTAGATAGAGGGTATGTGCACAGGCACAATTTAATACCTGTGTTGAGACAGTCACCTTCAGTTTCAGAGGGAGTAAAGTAAAGCCACATTAGCAGGGAGCATTCTGTCTGTTACTAAACTCTGCTTCTCACTGGGTCAGCCCATGTGGCATACAAGTCAAAATACTCTAAGTGCAAGCCACATGTGCACTGTGACCAGAGGCTAGAGCCCATCCACTAGGATACCAAAAGGGACAATGGAGATTAGCTCTGGAAGTTGTCTATCCAGGACACTCTGCTCTTTTCTTCTCCCATCACTTATTCCATGAAGCCTATACTGCACACCTGAGCTAGCTATTTTGGAACTATCTCTCTGCAGAGTACTGCATTGGATTGTGTAATCTATTTGCCAAAACACTATACTGTCACCAACAGGAAATTCTCAAAATGTTTATCAGATTGCACACAAAACACTAAAACCCCTTGCATTTTATTAAGTTGTTCTTTCATATATTTCTAGATTTACCTTATTCCTTTGGAACCCGGTAACTCATGAGTATTACAGGTTTGGTTCTTAGTATACTGCTAGCACAACTGTGCTCCTGCACCTGAAACCTTGTCTATTCCTTGCACTAACTGGTTTGATGCCACCTCTTCCTGTGAATCTTACCTTGCTTAGCTACTTTTAAGGGAAACTTATGAGCCAAGCTGGAATAGAAATGCTAGAAAGTATAAGAAAAATTAATATTTTTTGTAATGATGGGGGAGCAGGGGTTCAGCTATGTCTTGCAAGTGGGAGGAGTGGCAGAACAGAGGAAGAAGGAGAATGCTAACTCATCCTAACAGTAATAGATCTAGAATCAGCAGTTAAGTTACAATGGCATGTAACCCCAAAACTGAGCTGGCACAGCTATGTTTCTTTTGAAATCTAAACCCTGAAAGTAACCCTGTCTGATGACGCATTACACCACACTGACTTAGGCTGACACAAGTCTGAGAGGTTTGTGTAGTGCTCCACCATACAGCACAAATGCATCCATAAAAATCTCCCCAGTTCCTGGAATCTGAATATCAAATATTTCACAATCTGAATATCAAATTTTTCACAGTCTTTATTGTTTAGATCCTCACAATACTTTAGCAAAGCAGGAAAGAATTATTAAGTCCACAAATCCACTGAAATGTATATTGACCTTGGTATATGTAGTAACTGGATTTTACTGCTAAAATTTAAAAACCACGTGAGGCATCCAAGGACTCTTGTCAGACAGCTCTTCTCAATCTTCAAGGAGAGTATCACTGTAGAGAAGAGCTAGACATGCATGCACACATCCATCTTTGTTTCCACAATAATATATAATATATAAATACACATATATCCATAGTAGAGTATACGTATATATGGGTAAGAAATCACTGACAGATATATGTGCTATTTTAAGGGTGTGGATATACATGACATTCTTTCATGCATTTGTCAGATATAGTAAGACTATTAACAGGCTACAAATCCCCCAAAAATGTATTTACCTCAGTACTTACAAACAACATTCCAGTGTTTGGGTTTTTTTAATGACAGAGTAACTGCAGATGTTCTGTAAGCAGGGGGCGTTTTGAAGTTTTTGTGGTAGGCAGCAGGTATCTTTATAAACTAAAGTTCTACATAACCTTATGGCACACTTTTTATGAATTAAATTTTAAACATCTCCTGTTTGGAGAGAAACAAATACTAAACTCTGAAAATAAGGTGGGTGGAGCAAAATGTGTCAGTTTTCTACACTGTTAGGTAAATAACATATGAACAAAGGTGTAAAATACTAAAAGGGACATATTTTTGTGTCTGTGAGGATGACTGTCTAAACCTAAACAAGTGACATCACTTACAAAAAAATAGGCTCCCAGAAACTGTTAGTGTCTAGACAGTTACTGAAAAATTTAGCTTATTGTTTAATACAATTAAGGTAGAAATTACTCCTAGCTATAACCATCTTCATGCTGTGTGTGAACACCACTTGGTTCTGATTATGTTGCACACCTTATTTTTATTTATTTACTTTATGCAAGCCAAAAATCTCTAAATCTGTCATGGTCACAATCTACATTTACAGTAAGTATACGTAACTGTTCTCCATACTTCATATATTAAAAAAAATTACCATGCAACTTTCATGCTCCTGGTTTTCCACCATCTCTTTTAGATGTGTGTTTTCAGATTTGATAACTTGGTATTGGAATTCCAATAACTAGGAAAAGATTAAATTCTTAGTTAAATACAAGAATATTACTGTTAATTCGAATAACACTGAGTATAGATATTTCAGTTTAATTTATTTAATTAAGTAGTAACAATACTTAGTATAATATTTTTAAATACAGCAACAATAAAGCAGAAAGAAGCATTAAGCCATCTATAGAAGATTTACAAATGTCTCTGATTTTATTTACCTTTTTGAAAGAAGTAAAGACTTATGAAAAAAAGGAAGTTCACATGCAGTTATGAGATACAAAGAGGGACAGATTTTACAGGTCACAGAAACTTAATGAAATCCTAGTCATGATGCCTAGAAACGACATCTACTCTTTTAGTGATATGATCAGGAATGTGACCTGGTAAAGTGCGCCACACACTAGTGGACATCTCTAATCTTCCCCAAACACTAACTTTTCTATTGTCAAAAGTAAACTCTTACATTAATCACAATTTTCAATATGTAGTGACCCTCTCAGAAAACCCACAGTCAACCAAAAACCTATAAATATAAAGGGGTTTTTTGTTTACAAACTAAATAATGAAGATAACATTTGTTTTTAAAACTGTAATTTGCCAATAAAACACTGCTATCTTAAGAGTTTCCAGCACTAAAATTACAAGAATTTTCTATGCAGATTTGTAACATTCTTCAAAGAGCTTTATATAACACTAAAAATTAGAAACTTTCTAGATAATCAAATAAACAGTTCTAGTGATAAAGCACATATAATAACCACAACTTGGAAGTTTTCAAGGTCTTTTGCATGTTGAAATCTAGTAAGAAAAAACTGCAATTTGGATGTACAGTTGACATTTATTAGTGCTTTTGTGTTCCAGTGTCAATTTGGCTGCTTTAGTAATACTACACAGATACTACAGTGCTACTGATGAAAACTACATGAGAAATGTAATGTCTTTCTTTCACCGATAATGAATGTCATTATCAATAGTGTGGAGTAAAATGATGTAAGATGGTTTTGCCTGCTTGCATACCTGTTGTTTTGCTAACAATTTATCTTTTGTCTCTAACTCCATTTTTAACTGTCTCTCCAGAAGAGTAGCTTTCTCCATGATAGTTGCTATAGTGATCTCCTTCTGATGAAGCTCCTCTGTCAGGTCAGAGATTTCTGTCTTCATTCTTTCCTGCTCAGAGCAATGGGACTGCTCCTCTCGATAAATGTGGTTTCTTATCTGTAGCAAATACATTTCAAAAAGAAAAAATGTTGTGCAGTAAATATCATTGCATCACTTGCTACTTATCAGTGACTTTTTTTGCTGTTGCTTCCAAGACACCAACTCTTCTAGCTGATTCAGAGATTTTGAGATTGTAAAATAAAATGTCTTCATGAGTCAGTGCCCAGAGCTTTATTTATTTTTACATCTTTTTTCAACACTTCTCTTGTACTTTCATTTGCATATTTAGTATTAGCAATGAACAAAATATAACATATTTCAATTAACGTTTTAAAGTAATAAAAATAAAATATTGACATTTATGGTAAATATCCAAGAAAATATCCACTCAATAAGCTTAAGTATGATTTATTTATATTGCTCCTAAGTTAGTTTAAAATAAGTTTAATGAAACCTAAATTAACTCAGGAGCAATATAAATAAATTGATCTAGAGACCCTTTAATAAGAAAATATGTTAGAAATAAAGGGTATATATGGTAAATCACTTTATGAGAATTTTTCCTGCCATTACATATAAAAATTTAGGTCAAACGTTCTGCACTATGTCCTGTGCAGAGTTCTTCAAAGTATCAACACAAAGATTGTTTTCATAATCTTTCTACTACAACCAACAGTTTAGTGCTGATAGATTTTTTTATTGTCTAAGAAACAAAACTACAAACACCAGCCTAACAACTTTTGAACCCTTTTTAATTCCTTGCAGTACTGTACACAATGAGTAACAGATGGCATTTCATTTTTATTTATGGAAACTGCACAGAAATATTAGAATTTTAAACAAAAAGATGTAAATGCAAAAAACCTAAGAGCTTGATCATGACTGTCATGCCAAAATTCTTGCATCCAAGTCAGCTTCATCGAAACAGAGACATTCAAAACCCACTTGGATGCATTCCTGTGTAACCCACTCTAGGTGACCTTGCCTTGGCAGAGGTGTTGGATTAGATGATCTCCAGAGGTCCCTTTCAACCCAAACAATTCTGTGATTCTGTGATTCTTGCTTACACTGCTACTCAGCAAAACCACGACATGCCTCTTAGATGAGTTCTGAGCATCCTCTACATTCAAAGTATTTTGGCCTGCCAAGGCATCCACCATTCCACAGTGCCATGCCATGGCTGCTTGCTCACAGCGCTTCTGAAATGTACAATACAATGTGATGCATGGTTCAAACTAAAGAGCACTGCCCTAGACTGCATAGCAGGTGCTTGATTAAGCTTAGCCTTGTGTGGGTATCTGCTGTACTAACTTGTATCAGTTGATGTGTTTGCATATCCTGAGACCACCTACAAGCTACAACTTACCTCCTATAGGCTATTAATTACTCATAGCCTTGCAGGCTTTATTAGTTGCGTGGCATTATCTGAATCACAGTAGTGCTCAGGCGTTCTCTCTCCCATTATTTCAATACTGTAGGTAGTTACTGCACGGGAATCAGAATGTCAATTTTACATCTACATAACTACCTCCAGAAATGCAACCATATATGAAATCTTTTTCACATATGAAACCTCCATGCTCTCCTAAACCTACACTGTATTCTCCTTCTCTCTTCTGCGTATCCACATACCCTCCTCTCTTCTAAAAATCCGACACTGCAGTTAAGATCTGGAAATACCTTGTTTAGCTCTTCTCGTTGGCGTTCTTGACTTTCTGCAAATAGTAATAACTCAGTGTTTTTATTTTCTAGTTGCTCAGTAAGTTGAACACCAGATGATTGATGCCTTTAAATAAGAAATAAACAAAACATGAAACAAGCAGAACGTTCAATACTCTTTACCCTATAGTATCCTCTCCACAGTGTAGTACTGTGGAACACCTGCTTGCTGATGAAAAAATCCAAACCACAACCAACATTTGGCCTAAACCAGGTGGGAGATGTCTAGAGGTTCAGGACACTGCAAGTATATACAGGAATAATCCTGAAAGCTCTTGTAGACTGGTATTTCATATAATCTCAAATGGCTACAGCAGATTAGATAAACCATAAAACCACAAACATTTTATTCAAAGGAGGTCAGGGAGAGTCTTAATTGCACTATTTCCAAGGTGTTTTAATGCTGAGAAAATGAAAGACTGTAAACACATTGGTAGAAATATATGAAATGCCTTGATTTGTAAAGATCTCAGCATCATTACAGCCTTTTAACAGTCTGCATCCACTGCATGAAATCTTGTCATATATAATTACCAATGAAAATGCTCAGCCTAAAATTGTTTAGGATCTGATATTTGAATCCAGAGTATCTTTTTAAACAGAGTTAATGTAAATAAAATGTAAGAAAAAAGTCATTAGCTCAGAAGTACTTGTTAATTTAAATATTGTTTTCAACATACATACTTTATTTGAATTTCCTGCGTATCTTTGTACTCTTTGATTTTCAATAATTCTGTATGCAACTGCTGGCATTCCAGCTGCATCCTTCTCCAGAGACCATCCCGTGACTGCAGCTCATGTCTCATTTCTGAAAAGTCTGCCTCCATATTCTAAAGAAACAAACAAATGCATAAACAGTTAAATAAAATTAGACAACTTAAAATGCTATATTGGAACACATTGTATTCAAGACCTGTATAACTTAAATGAATGGACATACATGATTTTAATTTCTGAAAAAGGTATTGCTTTCCTGTCAGTTCCCTTCTTCAGAAATCTCATCTAAAAATCAGATGCTGAATATTCTTTAGCTCTTGCAATGTTCCAATGCATCTGTTTCTGAAACTATCATAGGAAACATCATTCAGAAGTTTTTTATTGTACTAAATGCATCTAAAATACATAGTTTGCTGTTTTAGCAGCATCATAGAGCATGTTTCACATGCAGGAATTAGTGCCATAAGTAGCTTCCTTTTTTTTTTTCTTAGCAGCATTTCCAAATTTATAAGATTGAAAAGTACAATGCTATAGAAATCATCTCCAAAACTAGGTCCATCTGCATGGTGTTAATTGCTTATTTAAAGGAACATCACAAAATGTTCAAAAAATCACAAAAAGATTTTTCTTAGGGACTTGACAAATGATATCTCTGCTTTACTTCTAATTTCTGATTGATAATGTGATAGACAACCAGAAGACATGTTACATTTGGCATAATAAAATATGAACTTCAAAAAAAAAAAATCAGAATTCCACAAAAATAAACTGAAAACATACTAAAGACAAGGACTTGGAAATATAACCCACGAATAACAAAAGTAGCAATCAGTTCTTGCAATAATAATATCCAGAGAATATTTATTATTTGTCACCTAAGATCAAAAAGCATGTTCCAGATTAAAAAAAAAAGGATTTTTCCAAGGATGTTGATCCTTTACCTTTAAAACCATTGCACTGAAAACATTAGTATTTCTCATAATTTCTTAATTTTATTTGAACATAGTTTCCGTCTTTAAAAGCAAAAATAAAGCCAAGCCTCTAAAGTTTAAAAGACAACTGGAATCCAGAAATGACACTGCAAGAAAGAACTTCAAAGGTTTATTTCCCTTAGAGCCTCATATGAGAATGACCTTCCTTTCAAGAAACCTGTGGTTTTCTTCTGGCTGAAAGGGCTGCTGAAGACAGATATGAAGTGCTTTTACGTTGTTGGGGTTTTTTTTTGCAAGGGCTGCATACATGGATTAATTCATCTTATCCTTTGTTACATTAAGGCCAAGAAAGCTTTTTTAAATACTGAAATGCAAGTCGGGGCCTATGCAGGTGAAATAAAGCTTAATGAACTGTTAAAATTGTCTGCAAGACTTGCTTATTATCATCTTCATGACTTCAACATTCAAGAAATAGCTACAATTATTTTATAATATATGAACCTGGGAGACAGTTACCCCTCTGATTTCATTCTGGGGTGGATAAAGGAAATGAATTTTGCACAATTGTGTGGCAGAAGTCATATTGTCTATGGCGGGCTGCAGTCATCATACGTATTTACATAAATTGTATTTTCTTCTGTGAATTATAATAGTAGCAGGAAGAACAGCAGTCACAGCAGCAGTTGCAATAATAATTGAAACAGTCCTTCAGGTCAAGAGTTTCATCGTTTCACATATCACTTAAAAATATATATATACACCACTTAGTATTTTAGAAAATATTTATCGCATCCGGTTAAAACACCAACATTAAAATTAATTTTGAATCAGAAAACTTTAGGTTTTGTTTAGAGAACATCAAATAAAATGCAACTTATAAAGAGTCTATTTCAAGCTGAAAATTTACCAAACCTTCTCTTTTCTTCTGTGAAAAGTTTTGCTTTGACTAGCTTGGCACGCTTGATACCAAAACGAAACCTCAAAAATTTCCTGATCAGCTCTAGTTCTACTCAATGCTGTTTTGTGGTGGGTTGAGCCACCACAGCACTCCACAGCCACTCTATCACTGCCCTCCCCAGTTGGACAGGGGAGAGACATGAGAGAAAGGTTTGTGGGTCAAGATAAGGGCAGGGAGAGATCAGTCACCAGTTACTGCCACGGGCAGAACAGACTCAACTTGGGGAAATTAATTTGTTAACAATCAAATCAGAGCAGGATAATGAGAAATAAAAACGAAATCTCCTCAGGGGGAGGATTCTTTACACTCTTCCCCTGCTCCAGTGTGGGATCCCTCCCACAGGAGACAGTCCTCCACAAACTTTTCCAATGTGAGTCCTTCCCATGGGCTGCAGTTCTTCACGAACTGCTCCGGTGTGAGTCCCTTCCATGAGGTGCAGTTCTTCAGGAACAGGCTACTCCAGAGTGAGTCCCCCACTGTGGGGTTACAAATGCTGCCACAAAACCTGCTCCAGTGCGGACTCCACTCTCCATGGGGTCACACATCCTGCCAGGAGCTTGTGCCAGCACAGGTTTCCTATGGTGCCACAGCCTCCTTTGGACATCCACCCACTCTGGCATGGGGTCCTCCAGGGGCTGCAGGTGGATCTCTGCTCCAGCATGAGCCTCCCTGGGCTGCAGGGGCACAGCTGCCTCACCATGGTCTGCACCATGGGCTGCAGGGGAATCTCTGCTCTGGCACCTGGAGCACCTCCTCCCCGTCCTTCTTCACTGACTGTGGATCTGCAGGGCTTTTTCTCTTACATATTCTCACTCCTTCCTCCTGACTGTGGTTGCGCAGGGCTCTTTTCTTCCCTCCTTGAATATGTTATCCCCAAGGTGTTTGTGAGTGATGGGCTTGGCCTTGCCCAGTGGTGGGTCCATCTTGGAGCCAGCTGGCACTTGTTCTGTCAGACACAGGGAAAGCTTCTAGCAGCTTCTCACAGAGGCCACCCCTGGAGCGCCCCAACTACCAAACCCTTCCCAATGCCAACCCATTGTTCAATGTTTTAAATACAATTATATGCTGTGTTTCTATGTAAATTAGTGTCTAGCAGTTTAATGCAGACTTTTCAAGAACCAAGCTCCCTGTGTGATGTTTTCAGGCTGCCTCCCATGTAAGGCTGCAGATAAGTTTGTCAGATAATTCATAAGGTAGAGAAATAGACTGCAGTGTCCATTTGGATTTTCTAAACTTTGTATTTTCTGTACAGCCAACAAACTGTACACTTTTATCACTTGCTAATTAATAGCATGAAAGAAGTATTATTTAGCAGGACAAACGAAATGGTCATAGGCATAGAGGATATATGAGGCACAATAAATGTCTTGCTTTCATTGCCATCAGACTTCTTCACACCAGGATTCCCATCTACTGCTTCCTCCTTTACTTATATCACGTTCGACTATTCCCATCCTCCACCTATCTCTCCTTCATGCAAACCTGCTGACTGTCTCTGGCTGACAGCAGCCCTCACACTTCCTTCTTTCTCATACAGACATTCCTAAAAAAGATATTTCCTCTGAGCTACCCCTTTTCACTATAAATTGACGTTACATCAGTGTTTACCTTATGCAGCTATTTCCAAATGCAGTTTTTCTAATACAGCAGTGTTCCACACCACCAACACAGTTATTCTGCAACTTTCTGCCCTTTAGGTAACAATGTTACGTACATCTATCTCCACTTCTACTTAAAACATCTTCAGTGCTTCCTACACCTCCTGTATTTTCTTCAGGATTCCAAAATTCCTCCTGTTTGAAGATTTTCTTAAAGGCTACAGCACATGACATCTACTCTCTCCATCTTGCAGCATCTATCCGCTTGCTCCAAATGCCATGGTTGTTCCACTCTGTATTTTAGTACCACTGCTTTTGGTGGCAGGCTTTTTAACAGGCACCAAAACAGAGGTTTTGCTTGTATACCAATAACTTGTATAAGGCAATAGACTCAGTGAACTAGTGTGCAAATGACATGACTTGGCTGTTCAGACAACACCTGAAATTAACCTCTGCCACATATACGCTAATTCCTACAAAGCTTATTGCATATGCTGTTATAACTCTGCAAGGCTGTCTATAAGCAGAAATGGATCTTTCTCCAGAAAGAGCTGAAGTTACTAGAGGCCATTCAATATATTACTGAACCTAGAAGTGCTTAAATAAATAAGCAAAAGCATAAATGATATATGCTACCAGAAAAAAATAGCAACGAGAATCTCATTCCCGATCTGTTTCAAACATAGCTAGTAAAAAAGGCTGTAAAGATCTTGTATTACCTCAATCTTGTCAGAACTCATATACCAAGACCAAAAGAAGAGGCGCAAATGGCTGTCTTCATAGATCAGTGCTATGCTGAAAAACAGTGATCTAGGGGTAAGGTAAAAACTAATGGTTCTTTACATGGAGAGCAACTTAAAAATTCATTGACTGCAAATCTCCCCTCAAAAATAACAAAGTATACTGCACACTTCTCTATATACTTATTTACTAGCTATAAGGCACAGTGTGCAACAAGGTATAAATCAGATAAAGAGATTTCATAGAAGTCATTTGAATACAAGGAACCAAGTGAACTAGGTTATATTCCTGGAGATGCTATGGATATAGGAAAGTTATAAAACTCTAGGTAAACAAGAGAAGAAAAAATATACTACTACAAATCAAACCTATTTCTGATTTACTAAAAAAAAATCATACTGTTCACAGATCATTCTGTGTTCCTGCAAAGAATACACCTAATGTACAGATCTTTTATGTAGGCATCTCAATACAACTTTTAAAAGTATACTCCTAAGTAATTAATTTTCCAGCATTAATTCCATAGTCACCATGAAAAACTGTTACTACCTGGCACTGGTTTTGGTACACTTTTAGATCTTCACGGAGCTTCAGATTTTCCTCTTCGAGTTTATTCTTGTTCCTTGCTATTTCATTCACAGTTGCCTTTAGTTTTTCAATAATCAAATCATCCTTTTCACTTTCAGGCTGGGCATAGGTTATTACCTCGTCTTGATTTTTTTTCTTATTGTGTATTTGGAATTGATAATTCTGGGTCTGCTTCTATAAAACAAGAAAATATTTTAAATGAATTCAATAATTACATGTAAATTGCTAGGACCAAACAGTTGGTACTGAAATCATAAAGCTATTTACATCTTCACCAGTATTTGCTTAGAAAAGGTGGCACAATTGGAACAGTTTTAATACTTCTCTAAAGTATACTTCCTTTTTTTTTTGGTCTCATGTTCCTTGCCTTCAGTAAAAATATGTTTCAGAAACCTTCAAGGGCATAGAATTTTTTCAAGGATTTTTTCTCCTGTGCTGTGTATTTTCCTGGTACTTAATGTTAACGATCCTCAAATGTGAAAAAAGGTGATTATGATGACCTACTCAAAGCAGTTGCCTATAGAAAATAATTTGAGAGAAATGTTCCTCTTTGATTCATTGAACTCAGTAGGAGTTGTGTATGCGTGCGCCTCAGGATAGATATTAACCTTTGACTCGGGGGCTAGCATTACATAGTTCATATATAAACAGCTCAGTTACTACAGGAACTGTATTTCTTTGAGATCATTATCCTTAAACCTGGGGAAGAATTATTTGCACATTCTGTAGAATCTTACACTTCATTCAGTTTCTTGTGCTAATTAAAATCCTAAAACCAAAACTTCAGAAAATTGGTTTTGCCAGTATTTCTGAATTCACAGGCATTGTGAAGAAGCATAATTACTATGGTAACCGTTTTTGCTGTTTAAAAAACTATCCACATGGGCCCCTCTACTGGGAGATTAACAAGCAGTACTAATCTTTCAGAAGACTGAAAATTAGTTGAAAAATGACAACAAAATATAATCTGAAAATCATATATCATGTGCAGACACCAAGCTGAGCAAGAAAATATATCGTAAAAATAAATAGGGTTACAAATACCATATTTCACTGACAAGGACTGCAAGAAGTCATGCTTTAGACAGCTTTTGATGTTATTGACTATGTTCCTGTAATTTGTGTTGGCTGAGAACCTAAGCAGAATGGACCATTGGCTGCATATCAAATAAAAAGCCAAAAGAAATTTGCAGTTTCATTCCTAGAGATAACAAATTAAGGTCCCTTTGACATCTAAGCTATGGACTCTGATGTACCAAAGTGTCAATGCATCCTGAGAAAAATATAGTGCAAGACTCCAACTGGCGATCAGAGACCTCACAAAAGGGCAACTAGAGACAAAGACACAGGAACAATTAACACTTTTGAAACAGTTAAGGGATAACAATCCATCGGAACAGGTGTTCTGTTACAGTTGTGAAGAAAATTGTCTTCAAAGAAAGTTCACTCTTGGCAATGAAAGCCTCAACAGAAAAATGCGAATGATCACTGAGTACTCTATTTTGACTTGTCTAACTATATAATCAATATGTATCAGTCAGTAGTTTTGTCTAGTCAAAGACTTGGTTTTTTAACACATTTGTATAGAAGTTCAATAGTTGGAATATAATTCTCTTAGCAGCTAAACCCAAAACTTAACTGTCATTCTTGGAACTCTGGATATGAATAGAGTCTCATAGGAATTGTTAAGAAAAAGCTTCACTAGATTAAGATCCAATGAGCTTAGTAACAGTGGAAAAGGGAATTACCAGTCAGCAACATAATTGGCTTCCCCTTACTTAATTTTCAAGGTGTCTTGTGGCCCAGGCAGTTTGTGAGTAATTTTCTTTTTCTTTTTTTTAGTGCAAGATAGGTCACCAAGACATCATTAAATCAACATTTTGTTCTGGATTGGAAGGAATTAAAAAAATTAAAATGTGCTGGATCAATAGGCTATATATAAAAAAAGTAATGAGCAAACTGGCGAGTAAAAAAGAATCACAAAGTCAATCAAGGACTGAATCATAACTAGAAAGATGAAAAATATGTTAAAAAAGGGGTTAAGTGATCCAGCAAACAACTCCAAGAATGATTCTGGAGTAGCATATGAAAATTCATTTTTCTGCATAAACAGTATTAGTATATATTCATGATCTTCAAAAAAAGAAGGCTAACAGATTGGAAGGAACTTTATATTTGAGTCAACATAGTCATGGTACGTACTACTTGGTAAGAAACTTTTTAAATAACTTGTCATAATTAATTGCATATCAGTAAATTGCACAGAAAATAAAAGTATCTCCACAATATACTTTAAAAGTAAAAAAGGAATATTCACTGGGTTTTGCAGGTTTTTTTTTTTTTTTTTTTTTTTTTTTTTTTTAGAAATGTTGTAATTTTCATCATGATACTTATTCATCTTCTCATTTACATGAGAAAATTAAAGTAAAATAACTGTATGTATCATTAGATCTTCCAGTATGGGCCTGCCTTACCTAATGCAATATATTCACTACCAATATAGACACGCATTATCAGATTCACTCTGGGCTTAATTTTTTTAAATTAAGTTAAAATAAGTTCTAGCTGAGCAAGCCATTCGTTTTCTTCCTAGAGCAGGAAGGTAGGACTTTTACCTGAAATAAATCATATTTCTCGGACAATAATTTTTGTTGAGCATCCAAATAAACAGGATAATTTTGGCAGATTGTCCCATTCTTATCCCCTTCTCTCAATTTAAATTCCTAAAAGACAGAAAAACAAGACTAGAAAACATAGGGAAAATATCTCTTTTCCATAATCTAAATATTTTTGCAATTTGTATAGTTCTAAAAAAAAGTTAGTTTTTTAATTAATACATAATCTTTCCATAATTTTGGAAAGAAGAAAATAATAACAATTATATAAACCAGCCATCCAGTCATCCCCACCAGAAAAAAATCCAGTCTTAAGGGATATTAATCTGACAAAAATGGATGATAAACATAATCCCTGAATAAAAATTATAGAATCTATTATAAAACTATACAAATTATAAAACATATAAAATATTTTAAACAATTGCTGTAGATATTAGACTATTACCATAATATATTCATTTTACTGGATGTTTGTTCCTGTGACTTTAAAGTTATATCAATGTCAAGCAGAGTAATCAACAGGGAATCAAATCCTTAATATTCAGACACATGTTTTGAGTGCTTGCTTTTTGCCTTCTTAATTTTCTGTAACAGATGGGTCAGCAGCTACCTTGAATAAATTTTACTTCTTGCCCTCTTTGCAATGGCTACTTTGGGTTCTGAGTTCACCTAGTTTAAACAAAAACCTGTTTAATTCTATTACATCAGATTTATCTAATACTGGTTTTGTATTTGCACTTACATTCATATTTATAGAGTATTTGTATTTGCTTTTAGATCATACCAGATCTTATATGTTCACAAATAGACTTTAAAGGCAGTATACTAAAAAATAAGCAGGAGAACTCCAGTTTAGAGCTGTTGCTCTTTTAGTTTGAAAAGTTAGCAAAATAACACTGTAATCCTTTATACAGTGGAAACTAATAAACTGTTATGAGAATGTCCTTTTTCACAATGGAAATGTTGTTCCAAAAAGACAGATGATGTTTTATAATTAACCTAGACTGGCATATTCCCCAAATTTAAAAAATAAGATTTTTTTTCTACAGAAACAAAATTGAATGCTTTTCAACATAGATTAATACAAATTTTATTTCATAGCTTTCCTAATATCTGCCTTGGCATTTAAAACAATAAATATCTTTCTATTTTATAAAACATGATACAAATGGAGTTTCAGACTACTTAATGAGGACTTCAGATTCAAGGTCTTACTGCTGAGCTTAGTAAATTTTCAACACAGTAATTATTTCCTGAATGCTAGAATTTGCTAAATATATTCCAAGCACTTATTTTTCATACTGCATAATTAATCAAATTACAGCATTGTCTTACATTATTTTCAAATTTTAATCTTGAATAAGGTTATTCTCAAATTAGGTCGATCAGATAGTTTCACAGCAGTGATATATTTAGACAATGATAGATGTATAGCCCATTTATTACTCTTGTAGTAGCAGCTGTTGGCAGCTATGCTGCAGTCCAAATTGTAGTAGCTTTTCTGATGGTAAGAACTTCCATGTGGAAGAGACAGCAACATCATGGAGAACTACGATGTGTCTAGGATATCTGTTTAGGTACAGTCACCTGAAGGTTGCAGAAGTTAATCTTGTATCTTATAGAAGAACATAAAAGACAGACAAGTCCAAAATAAAGACCCTAAAACCTTGCTTAATTACAGTTAAAGTACAAAAGTACTTAAAATCTACTAGAGCTTAATTTTTTGATCATAAATTCTCAGTGTCCGCATCATCTGCATCATAAATCTACATCATAAACATGTAAATCTTCCCAATGCTTAGCAGCTAGGCAACTAGCTCTCACTTTCAATTGATATTCCTCTGCTTGCTTTGCCTGCAGGACCCAGTTTGGTAAGCGCTCTAAGCATATACTACTTTTTTATGCTCTTTACAGAGGATGGCCAGAGAAAGTACAAATTTTTTTTGTGATCTTCCTATGCTTCATCAGATTACAGGTTAGACTGTTCTTCCCATATGTGGAAGACAGTTTCATAATCCTTCCAGACAGAATCGGAAGTAGAATCTTCTCATGTTCGTTTTCTACCCAACAAACATGTTATTTTTTAACAGGCTCTGGAATTCTTCCTTTTGAAGTTGCTTCACTTTGCACAGAATACCAGCAAATTTATTGGTAAGCAAAAAAGAAGCAGCAAAAGTTAGCACAGCTAGAGATTATATCACTCAGTTATAAGAACTGAGACTGGATACCAGTTTCTGCACCAGTGAATGGAGCCAGAGAAGTATTTGGGGAGAAGCCACCACTTCCAGGCACACTCTCTACATGCCAGTTCTCTGTGTTGCCTAACTTTTCTGCTGGTCCAATAAACATTTGATTAATCCACAGATTGTAAAGTAAACTGTAACTCTGAGAAGATAAGGCTGGGAATTATGATCAGAAATAAGCATCATCCTGTATCCAAGAACAGGTCCACTACAATCCATTCTGTGTCCAAAGGGATAGGAAATGTGACTGGATTCTGTTCTCAGCACCTATTATCTAGTCCCCCAATCAGTATGCTGGATTCTGTGGCATGTATTTTAAATGCCTAATCCTTCCTCAGGCATTACCTTGGGAAACCAGGCACTGAGGTCAAGGTTGTGGATTGTCTCAGCTACATGGGTGCTGTCAAGATATATGTGCAACAAGCAGTTTTCCAAACCTAAATCTTTTTTTTCCACGTAACCCAACATGGTCAAGGTTGTCCTGAGCTTTATAAAACTTGAATTAATGGTAGGTATTATGTGACAGTACCCTGCATATGTAAAAGGTCTGATGAGATCATATAATCCACATATACACAGATACTAATCAGGAAAACAGTAACATTTATTTATAGTTACACTTTAAAAAAAATTCATATTAATATTAAACTATGCATCTTTCTTGACAAAGCAAGAAAATTATATAATTTTTGTAGAATTATGAGAAAATTAAAGCTTACAACTATAAATTACAGATTAGTTCTAAAGGGATATTAAAATTAGAATATAATAACAAAGTATTCTTACCTCCAGTTTCTTGTATAAATTTCGTGGGTCAGACGATGTCACTAGGCTTTCCTCACATTCTTCTCTACTGTTGACCTTTTTGTGTTTTAATTGATGTGACTGTAGCTTTTCATAACTATGTGTCAACTTTGTAAACTAAAAACAAAAGCAGAGTTGAACATGAAAAAAATCTATCAAAGATGACCACATGGCCAAAGTTTTCTTTAAACTAGAAACACCAACTGCAGCTTCAGCATTCTAAATGTTTAATCAATGTAACAAAAAATCAATTAATAAAGTTAATCTATTATAGATGAACAAGACTAAGCTCTCACATAAATGTTAGTTAACATTTCAAATGGGTTCATTTGACAGCTACTTAACTCTGCTGAAGTTCTTCATAGCAGTTACCCATAGAGTCACTTCCTTTATAATGTTTATATGGAATGTTCTATACTTGTTTACTGCCATCTTGTGTTGACATTTTTAAAGGATGCTTCACTAGTAAGAATGACAGATTATCATTAATGTACTTTAAATTTGCATGTTTCTTTGTTATAGTGAAAATTGTGGAAATGTTACATGTGTGATGATTGCATTCTGCTGGAAGCGTTGATTACCACAGTGTCTCACAGAATTAGACACTAAATAGACAAAAGACACTGCCTACTGATCTTACCATGAAAACCCAGCTTAGGACTCAGAGGAAAGGAGGTAGAGGCAGAGAAGGGAAGGCACCAAGGGAAGTACCAGCCCCTTCAGAAAAACAGCTTGTCTGATCAACAGTTCACTTTACTGCACAAGCAAAGGGTCTCTCTAGTGGCTGTTAACAGGTTTGATACAGAAAACTGACATTATCTAGTAGGGAAATGTACATTTGTTTTTGGAAAAAAAAAAGCAAACCCAAGAATATTGACAAAGGAACCACTAAAAATTTAGTTTTAAGGAAAGCTGAGCAAAAGAACTTTGTGAAGAATGTTGAGTAGAAAAGAACCTTATAACTATAACTACTGATCGTGTCTCTTGTTGATAAGTTCCTTTAAATTCAGGTATATATGACTTTAAAAATTCTGACTCTAACATAAAGTTCTTTGTATAACCAAACAAAATCCATAAAATCTCATATTTTTGTTAACTGCTCAAAGTGAACTACTGTTTGGAAAAGAAATTACTTCCAAGGAAGTAATTGGAAATGGAATAGAATCCTGTTGAACCAACGCAGACTGAACAACTGAGGTTTGTGCAAATGACAAAGATGGCCAAAGAAGTCTAGAAAAGATACAGAAACTGAAGCAAAAAAAATTGTATGAAAACTTCCTAGAGACATTTGAGATGAACTTGGGAATCATAATATGGGACAGAGAAAACTAATTGAAAAGATGAAGATAGGTTGTCCTGGACTAGAAAGTTTCATGCCTGTGGATAGATTTGACCAACTTGGAATGTCTGAATAGCAATTCTGTAACACAGATTTACAGACACTGCCTTCAAAACCGAATCAGAAGTCTTGCAGGGTATCTGCCTGTATTTGAAGTTGACCTTGCCAGAGAACACAGTTAAGATAAAATATTTGAAATTAGTCAAGAGTATACAGGCTCAAACAACATGGAACTCATTGCCCTTGGAAGAATGATACCCTTTTGCAAATAACAGTTTTGTTCTTGAATATATTATGGCATATGTGAACTGCCTGGGAAGAGCAAACTCAGATAAGACAGGTATTAGAATGTTCATGCTAAAAAGGTTAGGAAATACAAGATCCAGCAATTCAGCAAATCAGTCTAAAATGGAACAGAATGGCTAAAATCAGAAAATTCAGTCTGAGCATTTAATGACATAATGACATATAGTAGTATATGTATATGACATATAGTAGTATATTACAGATTAGATTCTGGATGTTATCATAACTAGAAACTAGACTAAAAGCCAAGAATCCTTCCATTTAATGCTAGATATTCACTTTAAAACATCCAAGTTGTTCTCTTTGCATGTTTTACATATTAAAGAAAAAAAACAACAAACAAAAGACCAAAAGATGAGGCACTTTAGTGAATTCTGGGGTAGAATTAATCTAAGTTCAGATTTCTGAAAGTTAGACATACAAGCCTGAGCTACTCTGCATTAGAAAAAGCTGCCTTCAAATGCTTAGTCATTTCAGCTATCTTAAATTCTTGTCATACACTGACATGAGTTGTATTCTAGGGGTGTCCATTTCTCTCCATTGACTCTAAAGGGAGGTAGTTCAGATGTAGCCATCTAGCTTTTAAATGTCTAAGCAAGGCAATTAGTTGCCAAGTGCTCAGAGCAAGAATAGATTCTTGTTCTTTTGCTGAGAGATTTCTGTTGTTTTCAAAATGAGAATAGCTATGAGACATAAATTAAAAAAAAAAAAAAAGAAGGAACAAGTAATGAAGATGAACTTCTAAAGTTTTTGCTATTTAATTATGACAAAATGTTGTACATTTGAATGAGTGCAGCAGTGTGGCCTAGGAGTTTCAGGTTACATACCAGGAATTATTTCCCTAATACAAGAAAATATAGGTATTACTGCATTCAACAGGCACACAATCAATTCAGTGGGACTACTGCTCATTAAACAGCTGCTTTTAGCAGTACCAAGGAAAAAAAAGCACAGAGAACAGAAGAGAAATTTGTTTGAAATAGTCTAGCATTCTGATAGCTAGAAAAAGTGATCCTTTCTATTTCTAGTGAGATTAGGGAGGAACAAATCTTGGGAGCAATTTTAAGAATACATCTGCAGAGAAAACTACAATGCTATTGGTATATAGTGATATACCATTTGTGCAAAACTAAAGTGTAGCTCTTCATATTATACAGTTTAGAAGGTGGTATAACTTCCAAGTGATGATAAGAACAAAAAGAAGGGAGTCAAAGGAGATAAGGCAAAGATTAATATTGTCAAGGAAGCTCTATATTTTAGATATGAGTTTGTGTAGCTGAGAATTGGGGACATTAAAGTAATTTTATTGTAGACCCTGCAGCACTCTAATTCAAGAAAGAAACTTAATAAGGAGACTGGTAAAAGCTAGAGACACAGAGTGGTATAGTCCTGTCTAGCACAGGTGCTTCGAATTGTTCTGACAGGCAGACTTCTGTTTATCACAGAGAATCCAGGCACACCTCCTAACATAGGCATTCAACAATTTACTTCTTCAGTTAGTGTGTACAAGATGGGCATTTCATGAAGAAATATGGTTTGGTGAAAGGATAAGAATGGGGATCAGAAAATAAATTGGAAAGAGCATCAATGCTGAAACCTTTGTCATAATAAACAGGATGACTGAGAGAAGAGGAAATGCTTGGAGACATGGACTGGGAAAATATTCTTAAGAGCTATAAATCTAAACTTCTGAATAAAGATAAAAGAAGAAGCAATCAAGAAACTCAAAGAAAGGTTAGGTGGTCTAAGTGGTAACTAAAGAGGAGGAGCTGGGCAAAAAATATAACCAGGTTTAAAGAAAAAAGCTTGTAGGTAGGAAATATCAGATACTTTTTTTCTTTTAAAAAGGAGAAAATGTTGTATTTGCCTGTGGAAAGGACCTGTAGGGTAACTAAGAGCTTCAAAATTAAAATCTGTATCAAAAATGGCCTGGAGTTTTAATTTCAGAAGGTTCAATTTCATTGAAGATCTTAGCAAGAACATGTAACATAAACCCAATCATTTTTAGCATATGATTAAAAAAATATTGCAGCAAATGTGAAAAAGGATAGGACAAGAGAGAGATATACTATATTCTGGGAGATAGTTCTGCATTGCTAAAGGTAGCTTACATCTTATATGTAAAAAGTCACACTGTTTTTCACTGTGTGATGTTTATCTTCTCCATAATCATGCTAAGATGTTTCTTTTTATGTAATTTGTGTAAATGATAAAACAGCTTTTATTTCTACCTACTTTCCCAAATGACTGAAAGCGTTAATTACAAAACAACCAAAGCATTCACTGCTTACTTACAGAACTGTTTGCCAAATCAATTTTCATATATAAAACAAAATATAAATTAAAGACAACATAACATTAAAAATAAGTAATGCACTTATTTGTTTGATGTATTCAGGTGGTGTTATCACTTCTACATGAAAATAATGATAGCCAATTTATGCAATCTAAGATGATTATATAGTAAGTGTGATGACTGGAAATTATAACACTAAGTATCTGGTCGGAGAATTCAGTGAAGGGAACAGAAAAATGGCCAGAAAAACAATGCAGAATTCTGTATGTTAACTTCTTCAAATGTGAGAAACAGAAACAACTGAAGTTTCGTAAAAATTTTTGATTTATGATTGAAGTAGAAAATAGTGAAGAAACAAAAATGCAGGTGGCAGAGCAAACACAACCAAACAGAAGCATAAAACCATAGAATGGTTTGGGTTGAAAAGGACCTTTAAAAGATCATCTAGTCCAACCCTTTACCATGAACAGGAAGGTCTTTCACTGGACCAGGTTGGTCAAAGCCCCACCCAACCTGGCCTTGGAATGGGGCATCCACAACTTCTCTGGGCAATCTGTTCCAGTGTTTCACCACCCTCACTGAAAAAACCCCAAACTGTTCCTCAGGTTTCAGTTTAAAACAGGCCCTGATAGGAAGTCTGTCCCCATCTTTCTATTAAGCCCCCTTTAACTACTGAAAGGCTGCACTAAGCTTTCCCTGGAGCCTTTTCTTCTCCAGCTCTCAAAGCCTGTCTTCACAGGAGAGGTGCTCCAGAATCTTTGTTGCCTCCACTTGACTCGCTCTAACCAGGTCCGTGTCTTTCTTGTACTGAGTGCCCCAGAGCTGGATGCAGCACTTCAGGTGGGGTCTCACCAGAGCTGAGTGGAAGGGAAGAACCACCTCCCTCAACCTGTTGGCCACATTTCTTTTTATGCAGCCCAGGATACAATTGGCTTTCTGGGCTGTGAGTACACTCTGAAATAAATAAAGCTCAAACAAATTCCCAGTATCATTAATCTAGCTTACTCCTGTTTTGATACTATGGAAAGCTATACCTTATGGAAAACTACCAAATCACTTTAATAGTCCCTTAAAAGCAGAAAAATGTATAGCAAAGACATAAGAACAGTTTAAATCTTAGAATTCCTGATGTGCATCAGATTCTTAGTAGCATAAATCTAACTATGTTTTATTCATTTTCAGTTTTTGTTAGTCCGAAGTCAGGAAATCACATATCTGTCTTCATAACAGATGTTACGATCACATCAAAATCCATCCAAGCAGTTTGGACATGACAGTACAGAAATTATAATGGAGCCTGGGAGGAAGTTGTAATCATCATCATTTGTATGACACGATTCATCTTTCCCAAATCCATAACATTACATCTATACCATTTGGCATGTATAAGCTTTTTATAATACAATCACAAAATAATGAAATTGACATTTTTCTTACTTGAGATTTCAGTGCTTGAAGCTGAGTTTCATAGCTCTGAGCCATTTCATATTTAGTTTTCTGTAAGTCTTCCAATTTTTGTTGAAGTAGTCCCACCTACAGGTAGAATAAGCACTCAAATGTATCTTTTCTTAAGTGTTTCAAAGTAGGTCATTTTTGGAAAAGTAATTTTACACTTTGGAAGAAGACCATTGCTTAAGGGAGAGATATTAAAAATATATTTTAATGCAGTAACTTAATAATAAAACTGGATACCACAAACCCAGATTGTGGTATCAACATAAAATTGGGAGATTTTATAGTAAAAAATCTCAGTGTATACTTATGTTATGATTTAATGATAATATTGTACAAGGCTGTCATAAAAGATAATTTCCGAAAGTTATTCTGACCCAGTTATGTGAATGAACTGCTGTGCCCCATTGTGAAAAACTTCCTTGAATGGCTCTAATAAATCATATGAAAGACTTTCCACTACTTATGTACAAATTATTGGAAGACCCTGGAGACTCATTTCTGCTCCCTAAGTACAGTGCCATTTGAGAAAACTTGAATTATTACTGAGTTTCACAGAGATCTGAGAAATATGACCAAGTGCATACATGACACACACGCTTTTCTGGAAGGACAGCTGGAAGCTAGGCAGAATATGCTAAAGTATTTCAGATAACATCTCTGTACAGGCAAATAAATTTAGGCTTTGAGGATTGGCTACCTGAATTATTCTTTTGGCTCCTCTGACCACCATGACTAAGGGCAAGTTCCTAATTGCTCATTAGGGAGAGTTACTCCATTTTCAGAAGTGTCATTGGCAGTTTAGACACCTAGCTCACACAGCAATGCCCTTGTGTAGACACCTAAATTCAGCTGTCTTGAACTAGAACTGAATGCTATGCAAGGATTTCTTGATGCTTCTGAATGAATACTCAGCAGACAAGACTGTGAAGTACAGACAATACCAGGTACACTGGGGCTTTCAGTTTCGTAAGAAAGTCGAAGTAGTAATACAATTCAAATCTTCACAATGAATAAAATTATCATACAAAACCAGTATATCATGTAAAATGATGAAAATCAGATATAAACAGGAGCTACAGAGACATAATCTTGTGAACCTTTTTGAATTGTACACTTCCATTTAAAATTTCTGATGAAACGAGAAGTGTTGGCATTTAGAAAAAAACCATAAAATTATTTTTTTACAGTTAAACTGAGGATATTTGATTTAGACTTTAGGGAAACAGAAGAAATACGAGATTTTCAATGACATTTTTACAATCACTTTTCAGAACAGAAGCACAATTTAAAACAAAACACTAAGGATAATTAGTGACCTTTAAAGGGTGTTTGGCATTTTTACATAACAGAACAAACGTGTCTCCTTATAGAGCATTTAAAGCATACTAATAAGTAAGTACCAGAATAAATACTTCCTTTATAGAATGTGATATTCTTAAATACCTCTTGACCTTTTCGATCCAGTTTGCTTTGGGCACTTGCTAATTCTTGATCCTGGATATCCATCTTCGCTTCTAAAGCTCTCATCTTTCTTTCCCATTCCAGTTGCTTTCTGTTTACCATGATGTCAATTTGATGCACTAATTCCTGAAGTTCAGCTTCACCTGGAGAAGGTCTAAAAACATAAAAAGAAGAGATTTATTTTTTCAAGAGAGAAAACAAATTTTTCTTTACATTGCTAAAACTTTATTTTAATTCTGATGGAATTAACCACTTTTCAACATCAGAAAGAAATGGGAAAGGTAAATGACGCCTTCAAATATAGGTCTAGAGTCAAATGCTCAACTTTTGACTGCACTAAACTGAAAAAACAGCTACTTAGTATGGATATGTGTTTATCAAAGATCTGTTATTTGGTGCTTAAATTGTGCACATCCCTTGTTTTGATAATTATTACAGGAAATTGCAGCAAATTTTTTAGATTTGTAATGTCATAATTAAAATTTTACGTGATTTTTTTAAAGTCAAATTCTCTAAGACTTCTTTTACATCAACAAATCCTTGAAACTACGATATCATCAATGTTAAGCTTGGAAAGGCTTTTTAAATACAGACATAAATCTTAATGCCAAAAGGCATTAATGTTAAATGTTAAAACTGTTACCAATGCCATAATGCCATTTCGAAATTCAATATGAAACATAGGATGATAATAAACGAAGGGCAAGCAAGTAGTACACTGTGATGTTCATGTTTCAAAATAAAACTACCCCCCTTCCAAGTGCCTCAAACTCATCTCAAAAGTAGCATTAATGATGCAGTAAACTTTGATCCTCTCTGGGTGGAATATAAAACAGGCTTTTGAAAACAGAAAACAAAGCCATACTGCATCAGGACTACCTCTTCTTTGATACTGCTATAAGGACCTGTGCCCTTCCAGACTCGTGTAATGTCATATGGCAACACCTTGGTGAACCACCAGCAATGACTCAGACATCTTATTTCAGCCTTCGGAAATAGGTACTTTCTTTACTGTGCATCGCGTGGATCATCTAAATATTATTATGCAAGTGCAAAGACAACTTCTAGCCTAGATCATCAGATTACCCTTTCAGATCCTGACTGGCACCTTTCCCTTTTAAATTTCACTTCTCTCTTTCAGATCATCCCACAAAAGGCAAATTCTGCAGCCCTTGCTAGAAAATTTTCTCTCAATGGTGCTTGCATTCTTCTTGAACCTAGATCCACCAATATATAAAAAAGGGAGATGTTGAAAGAAAAATTCCTTCTGAAACAGCTTCTCAGTTTATCTTCACTATCTCTAATTTCTTACGTGGATCCTCTAAGTACACTTGCAGCTGCAAAAGGACAGCTGTATGTGAAGAAGCTACAGATTACTGCTTCTGTTCCACTAGCAAAACTACTCTGTATTGCTAACAGTGCTGCAGTTATCCCCACCTACTAGCATAGAGGTACTACTTGCTGCTGTAACTATTATTTTAGTCCACTAAGTGTTTTGAAAAGAATGCTAACTAGCCCCTTCATAATATGGCCAATCATGTGGTATCAAAAGCATGAGAATTTATTTTATCACTCGTGTGGAATGCAGTGGTTTCTTTTAATATGCCATCAGGTAAAAAAACACACAGACAATGAATTTGCTCATAAAGCAAAGAAGTATGCATGGGTTTTTTTACCTATATGGATATAGCATTCCCACTTTGTAGAATGCATACACCAAATGGGATTCATCATACAGGGAAGTAATGACTTGTACTTAAGCAAAAGGCAGCTTTTTTGGGGGGGTTCATTTACTTTGAAACAACTCAAACCACTTAAAGGTAGCTCATTTTAAAGTGATGTAGGCAAGCTCTTAATCTTCTTTTATTCTGTTTCCATATAGCTGAAAATAGACATGATTCATATTCTGCTGTCATTAATATCTATTTATCTTCATGTAAAACTAAATGTTTCCAACTTTAGACAAACCAAAATCCAGATTAAAAGTTTTACTCACTCCAGGCCTTTATCACAAATGATTTTTGCACTTATTAGACTTTTCTAGCCCTATTTATTTGTCTTTTGGAGTTCTGCACAGGTCTGTATTTTTCTCACTGCTTCCTAGTAGACACAGAAAGAATATTATTGTCCATACTCTTTAGAATAAAATTGTAATTTAGAAACTGCCATTTTAAGAAATGTCTTGACTGTCTGTCTCTACTTCATACCTTCTTCCCTTATTACTCAGGTTTGCTCACAAATAGGAAAATAAGTATGACCATATTTATCCAAACACAAGCAAAACCTATGCAGTTAACAAATATTTCCATCTTACACAGAACATTCATTAGTTTTTGGTATTTAACTCAGATTCTTGAACCAATATTAATTCATTTTATTATCGCAAAACTTGCTTTAAAAATAGGAAATATGTAAATCAGTTGTAAATAGTCCATTAGAATCTTCTATCCCAAAGTTCTATTATAAGAACTACAACTAATTTATTTAACAATTTTCAACCGTACAGCATCATACAGATTTGTGGATGGATTTTTTGTTATTTATGAGTCTTTGCAGATGCAATATAATTGTCATGATTTCCACCACCATTACTCAGCCATCTTCCCAAATTTTAAAGCTTCTGCATTATCTCTGGAATACTGTCAGCATAGACTGAAATGAATGTCTCCTTTCATTGAATGTGTAGCCTAAACTACTCTTCCAGATTCTTTGTATAGTTAATGGAAATAAATAACTACCAAGAATTCTGGTTTATGATGGGACAAATCACTCTAGAGTCATCTGCAATAGCCTAAAATTTCATATATGTCGATTAAAACACAGGCAAGGCAGAATCTGACCTCTTGAAATAGGCTTCTGATTTGTAAAACAGTATCCAAAGAATATCAATCTCTTGGTTTTTTTAATTCAAGTTTTTATATGACTACATTTACCAATCATATGACTAACAAAAAAAAACCCACTCAAAGCAAAAGGGCCACACCACTCAGAATATAGTATTTTACTACAGCAATTTTTATCTATCATGAAAAGTGCATCCACTATTCTTTAGTACAAGAAGGCCACTTTCAAATCCTATTAAAATCTTTCTTGGGCCAGAATAAGGTGTGAGAGATTATGCCTGTTTCTATTATTTTAAGAAATACTTTTACACTTAATATATATCATATTACCTTGGACTGTTTCTTGGTACTAATGACAGAATAAACTAGTTAATTTGAAAAATAGGTAACAAGTTTATCTTCAAATTATGATAGATAAATATTCTGTTTAACTTGTTATATGAAGAAGTACTTCCTATATTTCTGTTTTCCTTAAAGAGGCTGGATGGGATGAGGTCCTATATTCAATCTGACTCATGTTTTCACTTCTTTAGAAAGACTTTATGCTGTACTAACATATTTTTTTAGACTAACATTAAAAGAACTTATCTTGGATTATGTAAAAAAAATAAATAGATGTATTGTGATGGAAAGTGCACTTCATACTGGGGGAGAACAATTGTGGCTATTATCTGGGGAAAATAAGACTAGGGCTTTAGCAATGAATAGTCTTGGTTTTAAGATTTTTAATGTTTTAAGAGCTGTGACATGTAAGTTGATACTGCTTTAGCATAGCAACTTCAACTGTTTTTTAAAACAGTTTGAAATAACATTTCTTAACATCTTAATAAAACCCTACATAGCTTTCATTTCCCTCCCTTTTGTTCAGGTATGGATATTTAAAAAATTTAAGTAACTGACAGAAACAGTGAGTAGAGTATTAGCTAAAGCAGTAAGATGTGTTGTCTTAATTATCAATAACCTCTCCAGTTTGCATGGAAATAAAAAGAAATTGAGCATCAAGTTTGCTTCTAAAATCATTAATATTTTGTTTCGCATTTTTAATAAACCTACATAATTCAATTCCATCACATTCTCAAGTCTCGAGACACTAAGTCATTACTTACTTAGTGACAGCTTGTTCCTGGAACAACTCTAAGGCCTCCTCCATAATACTGATTGTCGTTTTAACCTGTTAAAACACCAAAAATCAAGTAATTCAGATTCTTAAATGCATACATTTACACAGCCAAGTAGTACATACTGGACAGTACTACGCTTTCCTTTAAATCTCTGTAATTTTCCCATTGCAAACAACAAGGACAGGAATGCAGCTATAGTTACAGGCTGGAATGGGGAAGACGAAAACTTCTGGAATAAGCTCAGCTCTGTGACAGCAGCTCTCGCATTCGGTGCAGCACTGACATACTAGAGGTGGTGCTAGCCTGAGCATAGCCCTGGATTTCCATGAGGGACACTCTGAAACACATAAACCTAAATTTGCCATAGATCCATGGCTGCATGCATCAAACATTTCCGTTCCTTTGAGCACCAAAATTAACCTACATCCCAGATATAACTGCTCTCAAACACAGTTTTGGACTCCTATTGATTATTCACTTCCTTGCTTGGCAGATGAGGTCTAAAACAAATAGTCGTCAAGTATCTCAGCAGACAGACCAGAACAAGGCTGTTACTGGGACCAGTCCAGTTCTGTGGGTCCAGCAGGACACGAGGATGTGGGGGCAAGCCTGCCTGCATCCAAGAACAGGAGCCAGCCACGCTATAGGTGATGGGGTAGCATGAAACATCCCTAATTCCTCATGGGAGCGAGCAGTGGGAGCTCTCAAGAGTACACACGGATGTGTGGATACTGTCACAGGGCACTACAGCCTTGGCTCCACAAGGACCAGGCACCTGAGGTGACACTGCCACAGGAGCACTGGCTCCACAAGAACCAGGCACCTGAGGTGACACTGCCACAGGACCAGCACTTCTGACTCTGTTGGAGACCAACACCTGAGCTGAAACAGGCACATGGGCACTGGCCCCACAGGGGACCCATACCTGAGGTGACACTGCCACAGGGGCACTGCCTGGCTCCAAGAGGGACCGGGTACCTGAGGTGACACTGCCACAGGGGCACTGGCTCCACAAGGACCAGCACCTGAGGTGACACTGCCAAAGAATCAGCACCCGTGACACCATAGGAGACCGACACCTGAGGTGACACAGGCACAGGGGCAGCCATGGCTGTACCCGGCACCTGAGGAGACCGGGGCACCGACAGCACCCCCGGGTCCTCGGACACCTGACGAGACCGGGACACCGACGGCATCCCCCGCGCCCCCGAGGCCTCCCCCTCCCCTCCCGTTACCTGCCGCGTTCCCCCTCCGCTCCTTCCGCACCCGCTGTCTCTATGGCCTCGGTACAAGCCCCGCAGCCCGGCCACCCGCCCCGGCCTGCCCAGTCCCGTCCCGTCCCTTCCCGTCCCGCCGCAGCTGCCGCCCGTCCCGCCGCTCCCCGCTGCCGTCGCCGCGGTAACGCGGAGGGCGGCGAGCGAGGCGGGAAGGCGGCCGGGACAGGGCAGGGACAGGACGGGCACCAGCTCCGGCCGGGAGTGGAGGGGGGCGCCCAGGGTATCCCGGTGTCACGGCCGGAGCCACTCCCGGTATCTTTTGCAGGGCCCCGCGTCCCTCCAGTAGCCGCCCATTGATCTGAAGGAAGCTGGAGCTGGAAATAGCACCCGGGGTAAAGAACATGTACTTCAACATAATTTAAGAAATCGGTAGGCAAGATGGTTTGAGTTTTTTCTCGTCTTCCTTTTTTTTTTTTTTTTCCCTCTCCTTCCTCTTAAAACACTGTTATTACTAGATATTGAAAAGGCTGAACATTATTCTTTCCTTCCTGAATGACTAACTATGCTTTTGTAAAAGGGCTTCAAATGATTTTCAGGTTATTTTGCAAACGACCTCGACCTGATGACATTTCTCTTTACATTCTTGTGGCCTTCAGTCTGTCTTATTCAACAACAAAATGCTTTTAGGAATCACAGCTACTTCAGCTTTTTATAGGAATAATTTCGGGTTTTTAGGTTTAGTGAGTTTTTCTACCAGGATGGTTCTATTCACTTTGTACTTATTGTTCTGAAATTGCACAGAGCATTTTCGGGAGCTGCTAGTCTACTTCTGTACACTAAATTTCAGGCTTTGACTTTGTTTTACTTAGTATGTTTACTGAAATTAGCCAAGTGAGCAGCATTTTTAATATCAGGTCTAAGGAATAATCTATTTTATTTCGTTCCTACATACAATGCTGAGGCAGATGGTTTTCATGTCAGCAGAAATGCTGTTTCAAGCTATGAAATATGAAAAATACCTTTTTTAAATGAGAGACTAAAATAAAATTATATACAGAGTTTCAAGAAAGTCACAGGATTACAGAATTGGTTGGAAGGGACCTCTGGAGATGATCTAGTCCAACCACCCTGCCAAGGCAAGGTCATGTAGAGCAGGTGACACAGGAACTTCTGATAAAACTTGCTTACTCACTCTGGCAAATAACAGACAATTTTCCCTTGTAGCCTTTCTAAAAGATTACTAAAATGTCTTTATTTTTGATTTACACTTCTTTCATGGCTGTGTGTCGTTTCAGGAGTATCCCAGGAATACTGATCTCTTCTCTGACGAGTGACAGAACCTGAGGGAATGGTCTGAAGTTGTGTCAGGGCAGGTTTAGGTTGGATATGTGAAAAAGATTCTTCACCCAAAGCCAAAATGCTGCTCCTGAGCTGAGGCCATTGGCTCCCAAAATAGCATCTCACAGCCCTGTAGCAGCCTTGAGCCCCAGTTATGGCTGCACCATGTCAGAGGTGGCCTGGAGGACAGGCAGCAAGGCACCTAGGGAAGAGTGGAGAAAGTTGTGGGACCTGTTGTTGCACTCAGAGCCCTGAAAAAATTTTCTTCATTACACTCTGTAATACTTCATGACACTTTTCTTTATTATTTACTTACTGTAATAGAATTAGTGTTTCAAATATAATTTCTTCTAATTGAAATAGGTTTGAGAATTTTTTTAAATAGTGAAATTTGGGATGATTTATTTTAAGTACATACCTTTAGGATGATTTAAAGTATTGTGTATTAGAAATAATTTTATGTAATTCCTTGCAAATTTCCATTTGTTCATCTGCTGCAACTGAAGTGCACTTTTCATCCACATTTCCTTTGCATATATTTTAATTTCCTTCGTGTCTCATCCTCTCAGTGGTAATCAGTTATTTAGAAGTTTAACTTCCATCTGTCATGTACAAATAGAACTGGGAGGGGGGCAACTTAAAAGTACAGAAAAATAATTTTTAAGTTACCTATCTACTTTTCAAAGCTTTTTAGAAGGACAATTCCACTGCCACTAGCCAGAATTGTGCTTCTGACTCTCTGATGTACATTCAAATATCTCATTCACTATATTAGAAAAATCCAATATCAAATTGATGACCTTTCCTATTTGCTTTAGCTCATCCACATCATCTCTTGACTAGACCTTGCCTTATGAGACTCAAAACTTTTATTTGTGACTTTAAAGAACATTCTTTACACATGCCTTACAAAAGCCTGCAAAAAAACCCAAAACCAGAAACAAACCCAGATTATTTTCAAAACAGTTTATAGATTAAAATATCATCATCATGGCTAGGCTTCGCGAACGAAGATTTGGGAAGGGCTCTACCCACATTTGTTACAAGCGCGCTGGTGGCTAAAGAGGCCAATACGAGATAGACGTGTCCAGTTGCAAAAGGCACAGCAGAAAGACTCCTTAGCTGGAATATTCTGCAAGACACGATTCTTTTCTCCTCGAGAGTGATCCTGTGTGCTTTCTCAAAAGCATCAGCAGCATTACTGATGGTGTGTCTCCAGACCTCCCGATTGGAGGCCAGAGTAGACCAGTTATGATGATCAATATGGCCAAGGTTGAGATGTTGTTTCAGGGAGTCCTATAAGTGCATTTCTGCAGAAAAAAGAAGAAAGTAGACGAGGGCAGGTAAGGAACATAACAGAATGTGAAGAAATGTCAAACAAGGCAAAGTACAACAGTGATACGTTTATAAAAACAAGGGGGACTAGGCGTTAGCCAGGAAGATGCCTTGCAGACAGATCTAGACAGATTGGAGCATTCGGCAATGATTAATAGGATGAAATTTAGCAAGTCAAAATGCTGGATTCTATACTTAGGGTGGTGACATTTTGGTACGTTTCTAATACTAAAGCAATAATACACAATTTAATGTGGCATATTTTTAGAGCAGAATGAAAGTGGTGGGTGGCGTTAAAAGAGTAGCATAATGTAGGTGTAATCTAAGTGATAAACGATTATATACCTACTGATTATTCTTCCTAGGTATTTGTCACTTTAATTCTTCAAGATGTTTGTTGGTTTTGTAGTATGAGACATAATGGCAGGTAAAAACTAAATGCATTTGTGTATTTAACTTTAAATACAGTTTATATTTACAGGACATATTCACACCTTATTTTGCAATCTCAGATGACAGATATGATTGAACATTTTGTTGCAGTAAGCTCAGTGTTGCTCTCATAAGAAACACTGATTTCTTTAGCATAGAAAACACATAGATATAGTGATATTTATGTGATAGACTCATAGCAACTCTATGATAATTTATTGATTGCATTCTCTGTGTCAGTTTGAATGTTTATGAACATACCAACTTAATTTCCTTATAGAAAGGAAAAGGAATAGCTCAGTATAAGCCATCCATCAACAACAGTGCAGCAGTCACTGAGAGACAATTAAATCTATGCAAAAAAATCCTTAAGACATAAGCAATAAGAGAAGAATGACATTTTAAAAAGAACCTTTGCAAGAGGGATTTCTACTTGTGAAAATTAGATGGGCATAAAATGTGCCTGAAGATTCTGAAAGGGCCTAACTAATTTACTGGCAGGAGTTGATAAATCCTGACAAACATAGAGGAAGAATAGTGTTTCTAAATATTTTATTTCCGGTTTAAACTGAAAACTACTCTTTTCTTAAGCAGCCTATGAAATCACTGACGGGAAGAAGAGAAAGAGTTTGGATTTAGTAGGATTTGCCAGGTAAACCAATTGACATGTCATACTGTAGGCTGGAACCTTGTCTAAAAGTGGAGATTGTAAGAATCCTGTAAGAGGAAACCTGAAAATTAAGGGTAGTGCTCCAGGAGAATGCAGAAAGGAGATAAAAGTGCCATTAGGCTGGTTTTTGTGAGAATTACAAGTTAGTGGTTCTGTGTCAATCTCTAAGGATGACAAAATATAGTCACAGAATCACTGAGGTTGGAAAAGAACCTTAAAGTTCATTAGGTCCAGCTTCTAACCTAGCACTGACAAGTCCCTAAGCACTGTAGCCAACACTTCCCTGTGCAGCCTGTTCCAGTGCTTGACAACCCTTTCCATGAAGACATTTTGCCCAATACCCAGTCTTAACCACTCCTGACGCAACATAAGGCCATTTCCTCTCCTATTGCTTGTTACTTGGAAGAAGAGGCCAACCCCCACCTAGTTATAGCCTCCTTTGAAGTGATTGTAGAGAGTGAGAAGGTCCCCCCTGAGCCTCCTTTTCTCCAGACTAAACACTCCCAGCTCGCTCAGCTACTCCCCATCAGACTTGTACTCCACATCCTTTCCCAGCTGTGTTGCCCTTCTCTGGACACGCTCCAGCACCTCCATGTCTTTCATGGAGCGAGGGGCTCAGAACTGGACACAGGATTCCAGGTGCAGCTTCACCAGTGCCAAGAACAGGGGGACAATCACTGCTGTGGCCTTGCTGGCCACACTATTGTTGATACAGGCCAGGATGCCACTGGCCTTCTTGGCCACCTGGACTTACTGCTGTCAACCAGCATCCCCAGGTGCTTTTCCACTCAGCACCTTTCCAGCCACTCTACC